TTATGTTTCATTGATTACTAGTAAAAAATATCAAGCCGACTCCACAAATATGATTGTGATGTGATTATAGATAAAACGTTGTATTGCATTCATGTTATAATTGCCTTTTATCCACTTAAGAATATTAAACACTCGAACTTTTAAACATTCTTGCGTGATTAAATTCTACTTAAAACACTTATACAATAAATAACTATTATTATGTTTACATTAAATTTAACGTTTGTGTTATTTCTTTCTTCGTGTTTTTTGTAACTAAAAAACACAAAATAAACGTAAAAAGAAAGAAATAACTTTACATCTCAACAGTTTAAAATTTCCCAGTTATTCGAAATTAGCAAAAGGAATAAACGCTTGTGGCGACGAATTTCGATAATTTACGTAAAAAGCGGTATAGTAGGAGAAATGCAGAAAAATTGAATTTTGTCGATTATAGCCCCATCTATCGTAAATCGAAAAAAATGTTTCAGACAAATCCTACGTACTTTTAGCTGTAGAATTCAAAACTGCAATAAAAAATGGAGGTTCCTATTTAAGATTTCAAAGTTACTCCCCACTAGCACTAGTGTATTTTCCCCCTCGGAATTATTAATTTTGATTACTGACATTCAAAGTTTCAAGTTAAAAAAACACCCGCTTGATATTAAAGGACTCTTATCTTTGACTACAGTGGTCCGATCGGAGCGATTTCGGTGTCGTTGTGTAGATTGGACCTCTCTGCGTACAAATCAATCGAGAACAACGTAGGATGTATATTTTCCTATCACGTAGCAAAAAATCGGTAATTATAAATAAACATAGAGTAAATAAATAAGTTAAAGACAATTAAGAAGGGGGGAGGGGTTCATGTTAAAAAAAAATATCCGCCTATTCCTTGCAGATTATAGTCCTTCAAACGGGGACAGAAAATTTAGTTTTTGTTTTTTTTTTTCTTTAAATGTAGAGAAAGTTACAAAAAAATAACTTATACTTTTTTCACTATCGAAAGCATATTTATTGGATAAGTTCATCAATTTAATCATCCCTACAAGTGATTTCTTACGAAACTTCTTTCTATCGGCAATTTGGCCCCTGTTTTGGACGACTTGATTTACTTGACACAAATTTGACCTACCCTTTTTTCCGCAAATGTAATAGTTTTTGAGCAAAAATAGATTCCTTGAGCAACAAACGATCAGGAGTCCATTCAGCGTAAATTCGAGATGACTCTTAAAGATGGCTATTGGCAAGACCATATATACGGGACAAAAATGAAAAGATTAAATTTGTTTCAAATAAATAAACTATCTAAAACACATTTTCAAACGACCATATTGGCGATAGAAATGACTCCATTATGTACAATCAACCAACATTCAGAGTAAATTTTTCATGAATCACCACGTCTTGGGAAAATCTACGAAGAAATCTGCCATCTTTGAGAAGTGTTGCATTAAAACAATAGTGATAACGTGAGTCACCACCTCGTTTCATTGAATAACGCCGCTGTAATTGAAAAATTACGACCATATTATTAAGGGTTTAAACTTCCGTTACAGAACCAATTTTATTAAGTGGAACAGGAGATGGATGTTTAACCAAAAAGAAAGCAACAAAGAAAGGAGACAATAACTTTGCGTATAATTAAAAATTAAAATAAACTCATTTTGCATCGTGTTAAAAAAATATTTTTATTCCCGACAAAGTATAAGAATAATATTAGTAACTTGCCTTTTTTTCAGATGTATGGCCGGTATAGCCGGCAACTGGGAGAATTTGCGAAACTAGAAGGCCTAAAGGCGCAAGAGAAAAGGAGACTCAAAGAGGAGAAGGCTAGGAAAAAAGAACTTAGCGGATATCAGGGTAATAACCAGTAACACACTCACTAATAATAGTTATTATGCTCCGCCCCTTCCCCACACGACTGTGAGACTTTCAAAATAGCTAGTTTTAAGTGACCATGTTAATTTGTTGTTAATTTCTGTCCGCAGGTAAATTGGCAAAATCTATAGCGTTCCTATGGAGAAACACGTTCGCTAGATTAGGCGAGGACTGGGTTTTCTTGGCCCTCCTAGGTGTCATAATGGCATTTTTAAGCTTCATCACCGACAAGGGCATAGCCATGTGCAACAGCGGTAAGAAGTTTTTAGTTTGTTGAATTCCACATAAACCTTACGTTGACCACTCTATATTTAATAAACATGGTGTCCCAAACACGCCAGAACCTCCATATACCTTTTGAGGGTAGAGTCATGCCGAAAAAATCTTCAGATAAACGTTGAAGAATATCAAGAAATCAATATGCTTGAATTTGACCTTGAGATTAAGCTTCAAGGTCAACTTGAAATTATTGAATGAAACACCCTACCTTTTATACCACTAATCGATAGATCGCGACATTTTACGTCCGAGCATGGCGTCAAAAAATTTATTCTCTATGACCTTGCTGATTATTTGAAGGTCAAACTAATTTCTCTCTCTGCAAAACCCGACAAAAATGTTCTAAGCAAACTTTATAGGATTTTGAACGACAAATTAGATTGATGACCTTGGATCTAGCCACCACAAGTTGCAAGGTCAGAATAAGGTCAACTTAATATCATGGCATTGCAAATCATTTGAAGGTCAAACTATTTTTTCACGAAAAATTATGGATATAAAAAATAATACAATTTGTTATTCATTTATCGATGCTAGTACGTGGGTAGTAGTCGTTATTCGGGAGCTCCTGCTATTTCGAACATTTTCACTACAATTACGCTAATTTAAATGCTTGTATAGTGCATATAGTGCTACTCTGGATCTACTCTGCTTATTGCAGTGTCAGTTTTTTCCGATCTGCTGCGTAACTCTGAGTGAAACAACATAACTGCAATATAGCAAAGTATTTGTCTACCACGTTGATCAAGCAGTCATGCCGCAAACGAGAGGTGATGGTAGTAAAGTGGACAAATCTGGAGGTGTTAATAGTGCAAGTGAAGAATTGATTAATAAAATTTGTTCTACCTTTGCTTCCAAATTAACTTCAAAAATAGGAGTGATTGAAGCTAAACTGAATCAAATGGATGTGCAGTTCAATGACAAGCTAAGTAAGCTAGAGAAGCTAGATGAAATTAGTGAAAGGCTTATCTACCTTAATGAGACTATTACCACCCTTGGTGATACTGTTTCATCTAATTGTAATAAAATTGCAGAATTGGATAAAAAATTTAATTCCTATGAGCAATTTACCAAGAGTAACTCGCTTCGGTTCTATGGCATTTCGGAGAATAGTGATGAAAATGTTCCTGAACATGTGTCTTCATTCATAAATGACATATTACATGTACCCTGTTCGGTAACGGACATAGATTGTGCTTTTCGTATGGGGAAAATCAGTTCAAATATTAAAGAACACCCTCGCCCTATTTTGGTCAGATTTGTGAATAACTGGAAACGATCGAATGTTTTTGGGGCAAGAAAAAGATTGAAGACGTCAGGTATGAATGTTTCAATTTTTGAGGATCTTACTAGGGAAAAATATATTTCTTTGAAATCTGCAAAGGAAAAATATGGGAAAGACAAGGTGTGGACGTCAGGCGGCAAGATATATTTCATAAAGGATGGCAAGAAAATGCTTTATGATATGGCTATTTAATTTTATTGTCATGGTAGTACTAGAATTAAATTTAAGGTCTATCGTCTGCTTTCATGGTATGTTAGCTATGTTTTTAAAGAGTCCTTTTTTTGCCTGCCTAATCGCGTTTGAATTACTTTTTACACTGTATATGTAGTTGAAATATGATTATTTTGTGCAATTATTTTAAATGGAGCTATTTTATTTACGTTCTACTGTATGATTGTATTTTATTAATGATTAATATTTTGTAATTGTAGTAGTATGTAGTTGCCGTTAATTCTCATTTTGGTTTAGGAGCTCACATAATGGCATTAGTGATCTTTGCATGCAAAGCAATGATTTTTTGTTTTCACATTTTAATATTCAATCAATTCGTACTGGATTTGATCTATTTTCTGATTTAATTCTTAGAGAAAAATACTCTGTTATAGGTTTGTCTGAAACTTGGTTAGATGCAAGAATGCAAAGTGATAATTTTAAAATTGCTGGCTATAATTTTATTAGAAGAGATCGTGAGGGAAGAGGAGGTGGTGTTGCCTTTTTTATAGACAAATCGATTCCCTTTAAAGTACTTAATATTCCAAATGGAGATTCTATTGAACAACTGTGGATCTCAGTTAAATTGTGCGGTAAAAAGATTTGCTTGGGTACCTTATATAGACCGCCGCGCTATAACTTTTCCGATAGTATTGTACAGCTGGAGGATGCAATAACTAATCTGCTGCCTGAATTTGATATGCTTTTATTTGGGGGTGATTTTAATGTTGATTTTTTGGATAAACTAAATTTGGATTATATTACGTTAAATAATCTTTTTAATAAATATGGCTTGCAGCAGCATATATCTTCACCTACTCGTGTGACAGCAACGAGTAGGACTCTAATTGATATTATTGTGTCTTCTAATTTAAATTTAATGACGAATATCGAGGTTATAAATATGCAGGGTATTTCAGATCATCGTTTAGTAAGTTGCAAACTAGATTTAAAAGTTAACAAGCAAACCCCAATATACAAAACTTTTCGTGATTTTTCTAATTTTGACTATACTTATTTTGTTGAAGATTTACATTTAATTAATTTTGATCACGTTTATTATTTAAATAATATTGATGAAATGGTTAGTTACTTTAATGAAAATGTTTTGTTTTTATTTGATAGACATGCACCCTTCAAAACTGTAAAAATAACTAAACCTCCTGCTCCTTGGCTTACAACTAATGTTAAATTAATGATGCGTTTAAGAGACAAAGCTTACTTAAGATATAAAAAGTTTAAGTCAGAGACTAACTGGCAGGAATATAAAGAAATCAGAAATTTTGTAAATATAGCAGTTAAGGCTGAAAAGAGAAGTTACTTACATCATAAATTTCTAACTGATTCAAAGAATTTTTGGAAAACATTGAAGTTTCTTAATGTTCACAATAACTCTACTTCTGATACCTCTTTCCCTGCAAATGCTCATGAGTTCAATGATTTTTTTGTTAATAAGTTACCACCGGTAAACATTGATTTAAATTTTATTACTAATGCCTACAGGGACAAAACTTTCCCTAATATTACTGAAAAATTAATTTTTACAGCTGTTTCTTCTCAGAAGGTGATGGAAATATTTAGATCTATAAAATCAAATGCGAGGGGTGTAGATGATATTAACTGTAAAATGTTGAATTTGGTTATGCCTCATTTGCTCGATCATGTCACATTTATTATAAATGAATGTTTGATGACTTCTACATTTCCAACATGTTGGAAGGATGCTATAGTTCTTCCCATACCTAAATGCTCAGAACCATCTAATATAACACATTTTCGTCCGATCAACCTGCTTTGCACCTTTTCGAAAATTTTAGAAAAAATAGTTTTTGAACAACTTACTCTCTTCTTGGATAAATTCAACATATTGCCTTCTACCCAGTCCGGTTTCCGGGCTAATCATAGTACATGTTCTGCCTTACTACATGTGACTGATGATCTATTTAGAGCCTGCGACATTGGTGAAACAGCTTGTTTAGTTTTGCTTGACTATAGTAAGGCATTTGATACAGTACATCATGCCACATTGTGTGCCAAACTTAGATATTTCGGTCTTGATCCTAGTGCTGTTAACTTTTTTCACTCGTACTTGTCTGGAAGGCGCCAAAAAGTTTTTTTAAATGGAATCTCTTCCGCTCTGATAAATATAGGCGTGGGGGTGCCACAGGGAAGTGTACTGGGCCCTTTGCTTTTTTCACTTTATACTGCGGATCTTCCTAATATTGTTAAACATGTGAATACTCATCAATATGCGGATGACTTCCAATTATATTTTCATTTTCCGTTAAGACTTTTGGATTCTTCGGTTAAAAAAATTAATGATGATGTAAATAGTATTGTATCGGTATCTCAGGCACATGGCTTGATCTTAAATGGTGCGAAAACTGTGCTACTTGTTGTTGGTAAGCATAAACACTTAATTAGTTCGGATCCTCGGTTCAAAATATCTGTAAATGGAAGTGTCGTAAGTCCATCTGATTGCTGTAAAAACTTAGGGGTCTATATGGATGAGAATCTCAGATTTACTAAACATGTTAACTTTTTAATACAAAAATCCTATGCTAAGTTACGATCACTCTATATACATAAGGATTATATAACGTCGGATATCAAATTAAGGTTATGTGATTCTTTAATACTGAGTAATCTAGCCTACTGTGATACTGTTTATTGGCCTGCCATTCTAAACAAGGATAAGGAAAGCTTACAAAAAATACAAAACGCATGTATTAGATTTTCATACAGTCTGCGCAAATTTGATCACATTAGCGCAAAATTTAAACAATCTAAATGGCTTAATTTAGATGAACGCTTTCAATTAAGAATGGCTTGTTTAGTATACAAAATTGACAACACGAAGACACCTAAGTATTTATATAATAAACTTCTAAAGGGCAGAGATATCCACAGTCGTTTTACCCGTCACAATGATCTGTATGTTGTGCCAAAGCATATCTCCTCACTCTTTCACAGATCTTTTAGTTATAATGCTGTACTTATCTATAATAAAATACCTCGAGCAATTAAATCTTGCAGTAATATTATTTCTTTTAGGAAGTTGGTCAAGTCCAGTATATATGAGGAATGAATCTCATCAAAATTGTTTTTGTCTCTTTTCATGTACCTACATAAATAGATTACAAAACTAGCATTGATTATTATTATTATTGTTTTAATTATTTAATTCAATAGACGGTTAGATGGAAGAGCAATATGTTGAATCTCGCCGTCTTTTTCAACTATTTTTTGTATTCATTATTAACACTTAATAAAATTTTACAAATTTTACTTAAAACATATTTGTTAAGCTATTCAGAGAAAAATGAGTTTGACCTCCAATTGACCTCCAAGGCCATAAAGGAAAAATTTCGTGACCTTATTCGGAAGTAAAATTTAGAGCTTTGTCTATTTGTGGCAAGTCCTTCATTTAATATTTTCTGGTTGACCTAGGTTTAACCTTGAAACTTAAGGCCAGCATATTGGTTTCTTGTTATTCTACAGCTTTCGTTTGAAGCTTTTTTAGATAGAATTCTATCCTAAAAATTTGTCGGGACATCCAGGTATTTTTGGGACACTCGTATGTACGTACATACAGGGTGTTCCATCTACTAGGGATTCTTCTTAACTCTGCAACTGTAAAAATAAAAAAATGGTTTTAAGAAAAGTTGTCTGGCATCATGTGGGCCATGTAAAGAGAATATTTTTAGCTTTACAGTGTGTTACACTTCGCGTGGACGCTACATAACTTTGTTATTTTAAATTAAACTTCCTGTATATTATTGCAATTTTGAATTCCTTGGTTAATAATAGGTAGAGTTTTTTAAATGTACATGGTGTTTAAAACTTATCGTTTTCGAGATAATCAGTTGTTTTTGAAAAAAATCACAATTTCAGCTCTCTAAATGAGGCTAAATAGCGTCTAAACCGTACGAGTTAGAAACTTGCAGTTTTCACAGTTCGTTTCAGCATAAATTTCTCTATCTTGTCATCTGTGAGCAAAACGTGTACGTTATTCAGACTCGGAAATACCGAGACCTACATTTAATAATTTTACGAGTTAGTTTTACGAGAACTTTTTCTTTTCAAATGGAATGACCCATATTAATTGTCATGGGTGAATGCAAAATTGAATGCCCTTTCGACTGAGATAAGGTTGTCCATACTTATCTTGTATTTTTTTCGTGTCTTGTGAAAATATGTTAGTTTAACATGTTTTAAGAGCCCCCTCAAAAAATCAGCTCAAGAAAAATTTTTTTAGAGGTCGCTCAAGATTTTTAAAAATTTCCAAAATCGTCAAAAATTTATTTTTTTTTTTCGTTATTTTATCATTTTCTAGGTTGAAAAAAATCTCGATTCTGAAAATTTCAAATCGATATTTTAATTTCTAAGTCACTCACAATTATTTTAATTTTCATAGTGTACCTATGTTTTCGAGCGACCTCTGAAAAATAAATATCGACGAACTAATAATTTTTTTGTTGAATTTGATGAACAAAAGAATAGAAATAAATCCCGAGACACTTAAATTTCAAAAAAATAAAAAATTATAAATATTTGATACAGTGCGGTAGTAAATTTTGCCTCGAAAAATTTTTTAAGTGTCTCGTGATTTATTTCTATTCTTTTGTTCATCAAATTCAATAAAAAAAATTATTAGTTCGTTGATATTTATTTTTCAGAGGTCGCTCGAAAACAGGTAGGTACACTACTTTGAAAATTAAAATATCGATTTGAAATTTTCAGAATCGCGATTTTTTTCAACCTAGAAACTGATAAAATAACGAGAAAAACGATTTTGGAAATTTTTTAAAATCTTTAGCGACCTCTAAAAAAATTTTTTTTGAGCTGATTTTATGAGGGAGTTCTTATAACATGATAAACTAATATATTTTCACAAGACACGAAAAAAAATAATCGGTTTTTTTTGGCCACCCTACTGTATATGTTATAATTTATTTCAACACATTGCGGATTCAATTATTATTATTAGATCAATAAATTAATTATGTTTAAAATTCGAAAAAGAAAATTTGTACAGAAAAATAAATTAAATGAAGAAGAGGAAACTTTTACTTGTATTAACGTATTATTTTGATAAAAAACCACCCCTACCCGAAGTTAAGTAACTGTAAAAAGCATTTCTTTCTATTCTTCTATATCCCGATTTTCATCGTTACAAAAAAAATTGTACAGGTTTAGGTATTTTATACAAAGCATATGCGACACCGTTACAGAAATATCTATTATATTTATACCAGACCAGTGCCTTGAGATATTTTCTGTTGACAGCTAATGCGGAAGCACGTAATTTTTAATCAAATATTCCACATCGCGCCTTATACGAGGATCGTCCAAAAAGTACCGTACATATTTACGATTTTATTTATTTTTTTTTTATTTTTCAGCGAGATTGTGGCTGTACAAAGACCTAACCCACAATACGGCGGCACAGTATGCAGCTTGGATCTCGCTTCCGGTCTGCCTGATACTTTTCAGCGCCGGTTTTGTCCAATTGGTCGCCCCACAGTCCATTGGTGAGTTTCTCAGGAGGCCAAAGAAATATTTCGTGGACTAAAAGTAGTAGTCAAGACACAAAGAAATACTGTAATGAAAACAAACGTTATCTTTATTGTTTTAGTGATTTTCTTTTACATTTTAAATATTTTGAAGAAACTGAAATTAATTCTAATCAAATAAAGTTATAAAGCTCTGTTTGATGTCAAATATTTTGAAGGAATAACTTCGTAACAAAGTTAATACTGTAAGATAAAAATAATCTATACCGGTGTTTCATGATGAACTATACAGGGTGATCGATATTGAGGTTGTTTTACGGTGACGTCCCATTAGAATTGAAAAGTTTTTGTGGGGGTTTGTGTTTTTTTTGAGCTTATGTATTTAATTTATTAAAAATCTCTTCTATTCTCCAGGTTCGGGCATTCCGGAGATGAAGACCATCCTCCGGGGGGTAGCCCTGAAGGAGTACTTAACATTCCGGACGTTAGTGGCGAAGGTCATCGGACTCACGGCCACGTTGGGCAGCGGCTTGCCGCTGGGCAAGGAGGGGCCTTTCGTCCACATAGCCAGCATCTCGGCTACGCTCCTCAGCAAGCTGGTCACTGGGTTCCAGGGCATCTACGAGAACGAGAGCCGAACCACGGAGATGCTGGCCGCTGCCTGTGCCGTAGGGGTGGGCAGCTGCTTCGCTGCACCCATTGGAGGTCAGTAGAATCAAAAAAATGCACTTGGTGCTTCGAAATTAAATCGCAAAATAAGGTTGAGTTGTTATCGCTGAGAAGTAACAGAGGTTGATACAGGATTCCCCGCTTCTTCTTCTTAGAAAAGTATGTTATGAGCGTCCCAAGCAGGGAGGGGGGCTCGGGTAAAATTTGCCATAAAAATTTTTTACGTTATTTTCAAATTTGAACAGTAAAATTTGATAGATCTGAGTTTTCTATAAAAATGGTAATGTTGTTTTATATCGAAAAAGTTTTCGAGAAAAATCGGTTTAAATATTAAATATGTTACACTTTCCAAAGTGTGCTTTTCTAAGCACTTAAATCTTTCTTGGAAGTTGAGCATTTTATCAAAATAAAGAGTACCTTTTTTGTACAGGAAATGAAAGTCTATCATATGATGGCCTCTGAATTTGAAAATTTTGACCAGCAAAAAAATTGGGGCAATTTTTAACTGACGACCCGCCCAATTAAAACGCCCCTGATAAAAATTTTTGAAAAATTTTATGATGTATTTCGACTTTTAATGAGCGTTCACGATATCAAAATTTAAAATTTCCCTTCAACCCATTTCGGAAATATTTAAAGAAAAAATGAATATTTTGAGGCCCGGTTTAGGAGAGCCTTAGCATTAGCATTTCTCGACCAATGTTTATATGACAAAATGAATTCTTATTTTTGGCAATAGAATCAAGTGGTAAATTATTGGACACTAATTATGAGACACCCTGTATGAACAGCGAAAAAATATTTTAATTGTTTTTTTTTTTGTATTCAAAATTATGCCTTTGCCAGCCAATCTACGTTTTACAATGTCGCATAAAAACGACGTACGACCCTGGAATGTACGATTTACTCTCGGACCTTAGTTATAATGTATAGGGTGCAACTTAAATGACTAGCAGGCATGCGGAGAGGCTTAATTTTCGAAATACAAAGTATGAAAGTAAATTTAAATAATCGTATTCTTCTCAAGAAAACAAATGAAATGATTTCATTGAAACTAGAATGCGTTTTTATTTTTATACTGGGTGTCCGCAAATTCCACCGTCAACGTTTGGCTGCATATTCAGGACGATAAATAAAAACGATCTACGAAAAAAAAAGTAAATAATTTTTTTTTGGTTTTTGAGTTACAGGCCTTCAAAGTTGTCAAAAATAAAACTAATTTAATTAATAACTTCATAACCCTTTTGCCGATCGCGTTAAAATTTGGCACATATATTTGGACTGTTATGGCGTATTATTTCTTAAAACTTTAGTCAAATCGATATACTGGGTGATAGTTTTCTCCGGTTACCTCTTGCTTTTAGCGGTCAAAACTTTTAGTGGTCGTATTTTTTTAAAACGGGCAGCAACATTGAAAAGGTCGTTTTTTTTAAAAAAGCGTCTCTTGGAAAATCGTCTACAGAAAGCCATTCTTGAGAAAAATGGCATTATTTGTACGTTTGGGGAGTTTAGTCAATAATTTTCTCTCACAATTATTTTTTTCTTCAAAGATCTTTGTAACTACACGTAACTATTACGATAGGGCACAAAAATGCCAAAACGTCACATCATGTCTAGATAATTATTGCTAAAAGTACATTTTAAAAATAAATAATAATTCAGTGAAACAAAAAATTATTTTCGTATTAATTTTTTGTTACTTGAAAGAAATCGTGTTTTTCATTAATTTTGGACATCCTGTATCTTGAGAATTTAGCGGTTCTAGATATATTTTCCCCATTAGTAACAGAAATTTTTATTTATTATTTATCCATGAGAATAATTATGTTTTTTTTTTCTCTTTGAACTTGCATATCCGTAATAGATCATACATCAATCAAATATATCAATCTCAACACGATTTAGAAGCTTCTGGATATTGTAAAACCCCAGATATATCTGGGCCTTCCTTTCTGTTATGAATATTTGCAGACCTGTGTGTTGGACTCATGCCATAGTATAAAAGAGACACAATAAAAAATCACAGCACAAAGCGTAATCTGATGATTTCTAAGTGCTGCTAAATATAGAGCTCTCGCCAGGAATAGCCAAGTGCGTTGCTCTATTAAGTTGTACGAGGGGATTACAAATTTCACTCACACTTTACCTTTCCGTATCGTGAATGAATACCAACATAAAATATATAGGGTGTTCCTTTTCAAACGTACTAACTTTAAGTGTTGATAGAGGGCTTCATTTCGAACAAACAAAATTCATATGAATATAGCTCATAAAGAGCTTCTTAACCGAGATACACGGTGTCGAAATTATTTTTTTTTAACTTTTTCTCGTGATATCTAAAAAACAGTAAGTAAAGATGACGTACTGTTCCGTATGACCTCAGGCGAAATAATCAAGGGGGTTAATGTCGAGTGACCGTTGAGGTTATGATACAGGACCTCCTCTGCCTATCCATTTCTTACAATGTGATAATGATACTGACACTAACAACTAATGACCACCAAACAAGTCCATCGCTTACTAAATTTGCCAGAGTCAAATAAAAATTTGCATAATATGCGCATTAAAAATATATCATGCCATTTACACAGAACCCTTTTATTTTATGACAATTTTGCAAGAACAACTTTTCGTTTAGAATTGATCAGCGATAAAATTCGTTTAAGAAGGTAACACCCTGTATATGAAAAGTGTTGAGGTACTAATTTGTTTGGTTTTTAGGTGTACTGTTCAGTATAGAAGTAACTACGGTTTACTTCGCCGTTAGGAATTACTGGCGGGGCTTCTTCGCAGCTGTGTGCGGTGCCACGACGTTTCGTCTTTTAGCCGTGTGGTTCCAGAACGCGGAGACGGTCACAGCCATGTTCAAAACCAACTTTTACATGGATTTTCCCTTCGATCCGCAAGAACTGTTCGTATTTGCCTTATTAGGGTAAGTATTTAAAGTACGGAATATATCATAAATGAACAAAAAAGTTGTATATTACCGGAGGAGTAAGATTAACAGTTTTCAAAATACAGCGAGTATTAATATTGGGGAGTTTCATCACAACGTGACAACAGCGCTTAACCTAACGCTACATAGCTGGTGCATACCACGTCTGCACGCGGCAGACTTGTCCTACGGAAAAAATGTAAACAACTATTATTGTGAAACAATTAGTACATTTCAAGACAATTGTTTTCCAGTTTTTAAATAAATAAAATAAAATGTATTGATTTTGTAGTACGAAGATAGTGTTGTGCTTAAATTTTAACTCGAATTTTAGTAATTATGAATCTCTTAAAACAGGAACTTAACTTTTAATCAAATTACATATTTGAAAAATATGTAATTAAAGTACCCAAAGATTCACGTCATCCAAATAATCATACGTATTAAAAATAATTTAGGTACTTACCAAAACGCAAAATTCAGTAATTTTTAAACGCACGTATAAAACAAACTACAACCTATGCTCAAAATGACCACCACCATTTTCGATGCACACACGACGCCTTCGAATCCAATTTTCGCGCATTCGCTGGAAAACACGTCAAGAAAAGGAAGTAGTGGTACGCAAAAACACTTCAACACGGTCCAATTCCAGTTCCAATACCAACTGAATTGCGTATTGCTGGACATCTAGTAGCTCGTGTTATCCGCCGCGCCGTTGTCACATTGCTCGATATGAATTTTATCGAATTTTAAATTTATTACAATGCTAATTACACAGGCCAACAAGGAAAAAATCCAGAGATCAGGCAATACGTTTCCGAAGGCATTTGGCGCGCTGAATCCGAATCTGGCCTCAGAATTGATCCATCACCCTAGGTTTCCGAGATATTCTCACCTAAAAGTGCAAAAAACACGTATTTTTGCTATTTTCAAGGTTATGTAACTTGGCGAAAAATTTTTTTTCTCTTGTAAAATGCTTTATTTTTCGCGGAGATATCGTCGATTAAAGATGATCAGTATAGCTACCTTATTACCATGGCTCGACCTATAACACAATATCACTAAGCGCTACGAGCCTTATATGTCAGGAAGGTTAACCCCAATAACCCAAATAACCCAATAACCCAATAGGGCTTGGGATTAACCTTCCAGACATATAGGGCTTGGGGTTAACCTTCCTGACGATTAGGGCTCGCAGCGCTTAGTGTTATTGGGTTATAGGGCTTGAAGTTAACCTTCCTGACGATGAGGGCTTGCTCCGTTTAGTGTTGTGGGGTTATAGGGCTTGGGGTTAACGTTCCTAACAATTAGGGCTAGCAGCGCTCAGTGTTATGGGGTTAGCCATGATGTAATAATATAGCCATACTGGTCATCTTAAATTGACGATATCTCCGCGAAAAATAGAGCTTTTTCCAAATAAAAAAATGCGTTTTGAAGGGGAAAGATAGTCGTTTCCAATGATGTTTTCAGTTTTGAGAAAAAAATTTTTTTCGCCAAGTTACATAACCTTGAATATAGCAAAAGTACGTGTTTTTACACTTTTAGGTTAGAATATCTCGGAAACCTAGGGCGATGGATCAATTCTGAGGTCAGATTCGGATTCAGCGCGCCAAATGCCTTCGGAAGCATAGTGTCTGATTTCTGGAATTTTTTTTTTTAAATTTTGTCGGCCTGTGTTATTTTTTAGAATTAAGCATAAAGAAGTTCAAAAAGTGATAAAACATTGTTTTCTTATGGTATTCTGTGCACGCACTTATGTCAGTATTCCTTAATTAATCAAGTTGGAGATTTTTTTTCTCGAAAATTGTTTAGGACCCATGTCATATAAGGTTTTTTTTGTTTATTTTAATGTAATCTATCGTCTGTTAAAAATAAGGCAGTTATAACACCCTGTATAATTGCGAGTCAAAATCTTGGGTACAAGAAGCTTGCTTGTACTTATCAGTTGGTTTTTTAAGTTTTACTCGAAAATCAGGTTTTGTTCGAAAAACAAGATAGAAAATTGAAAGACGAATCCGAAAATATCATAGTTGTTACAGTAAAGCAGTGGCGTACTATTTTATTTAGAAAAATATGCCACCGGTACCCTGTATCTCCGCCACTGGAGCATGTAAATTTTAGGAAAAGCCATCGGATTTTGAAGAATGTTTACATAAATATATGTGCCCAATTTTAAATTATTTCACTTACTATACTATAAATTAATTTAATTAAAAAAAATTTAAAATATTTTTTGAATTTTAACACCGTGTATCTTTTTAACGAAGCGTCCTAGATAAAAACTTTATAGGAAAGACTCCCCTTAAAACTCACCAAAGAATACGAGGTTTCATTTTTGGTCACAATTTGTGAATCACCCTGTATTTATAAATGCCTTAAGTCACGTAACGTGAGTTCTAGTTTTACATCATGCCACCTCTACATTCTCTCCACAGTTCATCAAATCCGTGATTAGCCTTGCTTTGACTATTGAATAGAGTTGAAAAGCGCTGATGAGTTTAATATTTTTGATTTTTCCTCAAAGTATGCAAGAAATACATTTCAATCATACTTTCCAGAACACAGATATTGTCTAAAGTTGCTTATTTGAGGCACAGTTTTTTCTCTGTCGGAGTATTTTAATTTTTTTTCATTTTCATCATAAAAAGATAATTAAGGGTTATTTTACAAAACCATATTTGCAAAAAAATCTCAATAAAGAAAAGCACACAAATAAAAAATATACATCAAATAATATACTTCAATTATTTAATTTCAGTTGAAAACCAATCTGTTCGCTGTTCTTTTTTAAATATACAGGGTGTCTCATAATTAGCTGCCAACCCTGAACAGGCCGATTCTATGATCAAAACTAAGTAAAAAAGTTCATATGAACATGGGTCCGGAAATGCTTCCTAAGGGCACAAGGACCCATTGAAGAGGGAGGAATGGAAATCATTTTTTCTACCCACCCCAATGGACCTTGTCCATTGGGGTGGGTACGGGGGGGCCCTTGGTACTTTGCGTGTGTAACTTTTTCATCTTTGACTTTTTAACAAATTGGACAGCAAATTCCGTTTTCCCGAACTATTTTACGTTAAAAAGGTACTCTTGTTTCAAATCGTTATCTTTAACGGTTTCTGAGAAAATCGCTCTTGAATTAATCCCACTTTGGTCAATTTCATAGTAATTTAAACAAATAATAATAATAATAATTTAATACGTAATCAGTAATACACATTATGTAGAACAATTATGATATGATAATTTGTTTATGGCTTTTGCGATGGTAATGCTGCGCGGCAGAACGCGAGTACGGCAGAAGGTTTCCAAACAGAAGGCTGACATCAACAATTATCCTAGGGTCAGGCAAAAGCTGCTCGGGAATTGGCTCTTTTTGCATTAAATAGATCTTATTTTTACGTTAATTTTAAAAAAATATAAATATATTCGCCTCTTTGTTCCCAAGATAGCTTTTTTATACAGAGTGTTAATGATAAGTTTTGCCAAATTTTATTGGCGTATTCTACCGATGAAAATAATCAAATTTTGCCCTATAAAAATTTAAATTTATGACAGGACGCTTCCCTACGGAGATACAGGGTGTTAAAAGTTTCAAATATTTATAATATTTTTCCTGTAACTTCACTGGCATAAAAGATTGAGTGATAAAATTTGGGGGATGTCATTTTTTCAGTAGTGACTATTTTTTCATGGATAACTTATTCCAAAATACACTCCAGTGGCGTAGTTATTGAGGGAGTAGATTACCTTTTTTTGAAAAAATTGAAAAAATCGTATGCCACTGGTTTTTTAAATAATTTTAAATGTTTTTAAAATATACAAACAATTTGTGGCAATAAAGTATTCTTGTAAAATATCGTCTACAACATAAAATAACTAATTTTAAAGTAAAAAAAAATTAAAAAACGCGATTTCCTTTTCAGAGCGTTCAGCGGCGTAGGCGGGGCGTTCTTCGTCTGGGTGCACAGACACTACGTCATCTTCATGAGGAACAGCAAGACCCTCAACAACTTCCTGAAGAAAAAGTGAGTTCCCCAACTGCCACCCCTCAGCTATGTAAATCGTATTAAATAGACTTGATTTTCCAGCCGTTTTCTGTACCCCGGCATAGTGACGCTACTGGTCTCCACTTGTACTTTCCCCCCTGGCTTCGGCCAGTTTGTGGCCGGCGACCTCAGCGGTCACGACCAGGTCAAGACGCTATTCAGCAACTTCGCCTGGACGAGCGACAACATCACCGTCGAGGAAGAGGAGATCCTAGCGCACTGGAAGACCGAGTGGACCGACGTCATCACCAATTTGGCCTTGTACTCAATTTTCACTGTGAGTTCTTTAAGCAAAATCAAAAACCGAATTCTAAAAGCATATTAAAAAAATTTGTCCACTCACAAATAAATGAGACCACAATTTTTTCTAGTTAACATAATTTTGTGTATCTTCGTCATGGAAACTGTAATGTGCTCTTCATTTCGCATAGTGTTCCCATAATATGTTCCTAGATGAGGCATGGGCATGCCAATGCTTGTCATAAGCGTACAAACACATTTCGTGATTCCAGTAAGTGTTGTTAAAAATGGAATCACATGTCCAGATTACCAATCCGGTAATCAGGATAGTCGTAAACGATCAAATTTAACATATTTAACTCGAAGGACTTGCTTAGATTGCGACTAAAAGTTTTGCTGTGTGCTATACAGGGAATTTTCATTACTTAAAACGAAATAACGAAATTGCGTAGCAAAGAGAAAAAAAGTGCCACGATAAATAAATCACATACGGTGTCTGAAGTTTGACAAGGTTTAAATGTTAACAGCAGGCCAGAGAAAAGGATCACGTTTTTTTATAAACTGGAAAAATTGTTTGCATTTATTTTGCCTCACATCGAACATGGTGCAGTTATTGCCATAGATAATAGGCCTTACCATAGGCGACAGCAGTTACTAACGCTTATAACGATAGTTTCTAGTGTCATATCGGTGGTGTAACTCATTTCTCAGTGCTGTTGGTACTTTTAAAACCTACCTACTTGTTGGATATTTGATATGGTGAGTGTAAATTTAGTATTCACCAAAATCCACATATTTAGTAATTTTGGAACCTTCTAAATTGATACGCCCATGGAATTGCGCACTCCTTACCCGTCGTACGGTCTACATATCGAGAATTACTCACTGCCTGCTATTTTGGAACTGGCGTATACAGTAGTTGATCCAAATATCCGAAAATTGCACGGGGGAAGGGACGGTTTATTATAATTTTCGACTGTATATACTTATGCGCTTTGTAATGTTTCAGTTTGCCGCTTCCATCGTCTGCTCAACACTGCCCGTGCCCAGCGGAATCTTCATACCAGTTTTCAAAATTGGGGCGTCTCTCGGTCGGATTGTCGGCGAACTGATGCATCTCTGGTTCCCAAATGGTAATTTTTAATTCTTGTGTAATTGAAACTATTGGATCAAGGCATCTTTTGTCTATTTTAGGAATGAGTTATGGTGGAAGGTTGGCACAGATCATCCCCGGGGGATACGCAACGGTGGGAGCTGCAGCCTTCAGTGGTTCTGTCACCCACACCATCTCCGTGTCTGTGATAGTATTTGAAATGACGGGACAGATTACCCATATAATACCCATCATGATCTCAGTTTTGATCGCTAACGCCATAGGCAGTCTGCTAGCCCCCAGCATCTACGACAGCATCATACTGATCAAGAAACTGCCATACCTTCCAGATTTGCTGCCGAGCAGTAGCGGTAAGGGCTATTCTGGTATCAGCAACGCTATTTCCTTTACTGATTCCGCTATTTGTTTCAGGAATGTACGACATTTACGTAGAAGATTTCATGGTGAGAGATGTGAAGTACATTTCACACGGTATGTCTTACGAACAGCTGAAGACGCTTTTAAAGGAAAACAGACGTCTGCAAAGCTTCCCTCTGGTGGACAGGCCGGAAAGCATGGTGCTGCTAGGCTCGATCCAAAGACTGCACCTCATTCAGCTGATAGAGAAGCAGATTGGAAGGGAACGAAGGTTGCAGGTATGGCACCAAATATATCCTGAGGTAACAGATTAAGCTTTTGCCTTTAGGTAGCGGCAATCCGAAGGAAAGAGGCGGAGGAAAAAGCTAGGGAAGAGGAACTTAAAGCTGCTGAAGAGAGAAAGAGGAGGCCGTCGAGATTCCAAGTGGTGCCAGCCCCCGATATGCTGCAGAGACAGATGTCAGAGAATCAGTTGGATAATGTTAGTAAAAACAACAATTGTACAATGTCATTTATAACTTGGTTTCAATTCTAGAAGCCGATGTACAACCCAGTGTTTGGGACCCAACCAAAAAAATCCATCCTTAAGAAAACCAATTCCTTCACCCTCAAGGGATTTTCACCATTCCTGTCTACTAGTCCAGCATCCACCCCTTACCAAACTGTGACGGGGGCGGAAAGCAGGATTCGGTTAGCATTCGACGCCATATTCAGGTAAATTTGAAGGGTTTACTGGAAATCGCTTTGTTTATCTTGACGTTTTGTTCAGAAAATCGGCCAATCTCCAGGATGTAGATCACGGAGCCAGCCAGTCACTGGATAGTCCTGGGAGTGATTCGTTGAACAGCAAAATCGAAATTATCCCCATGAGCCCCACTTCTTTGAAGAAGGTGCAACTGGTAAGTGTTAATAACGATTTAGAGATAAAAAGGATAATATAGTAAAAAAACTGTCTGCAACAAATCACAATCATAATATTGTCTTAATTATTTTAAGTTTGTTAGAAGAACAAAAGATATTTAGAATGTTTAAAGACATGACTGATATCATTAATGAATAAGTTAAATAAAATCGGTCCACAGTGAGAACCCTGCGGGGATCCAGAGGGAGCACTTATCGCACTGGACACAAAGTTATTGATTTTAACTCATCTCTTTTCAGCCGAAAGAACGGATCTGCGACATGAGCACCGAAGACCAAAAGAAATGGGAGGAGGAACAGATGGCCCATCCGGTAGACTTCTCCTCCTGCCACATAGACCCAGCGCCATTCCAGCTGGTGGAGCGGACTTCCCTCCTCAAAGTCCACTCGATTTTCTCGATGGTGGGGGTGAACCACGCGTATGTGACCGCCATCGGAAAACTGGTGGGGGTGGTGGGGTTGAAGGAACTCCGAAAGGCCATCGAGGATGTCAACAGCGGCGCCCTTCCCCTCCACCCGGATGATAACCTTGAGGCGACGGTTAGTGTAGATGACGTTAAAGATGTCCCGGTAGAGAAAGAACCCGATGCCAGCACGACGCTGATGCGGAAGGACTCGGAAGTATGATTTTCGGCGAGGGTATATTGCATTCCTGTTGAATACTGATCGGGAGGGCGCTGTCCTGGTTGTGTTACGTTGGGCAGCTTCCATTTTTAATTTCTAGGTTAGGTAACATTTTAATGAAGTTGCAGTGGCTGTGATTCGAGATATACCCCACCGAAAGCGTACTTCTGGGTGTGCGGTAATATAGTCCAGGAAATATGGAGTTGGGCGCGACTTTTTGTTTCGGCAAGCTGAATTTATCACTATAGATGTTAAATATGATGTACAATAACATATTAGTTTCTACAGTCATAAAAATGGGAGATAGATTGTTTACAGGATGGTTAATTGTATAATTTTTAGGTAAATTCAAGTTTTTCGCTTATAACTTTTTTCCGTTCATTTCCACGAGAATACAGTAAGGTACTTTTTTTTCGTCTTCAAAAGTCCTACAAAACTAGCCCTCGAGCGTCAAAAAATACTGATTAGATCAAAAGTTATAAACAGAAGAATTTTATTTATGACTTGAATTAAACATTTATAAAATGCGTTATTATTACCAGAACGTTTTGGCATCGCATCCTCTCATTCCTTATCACTGTCTAATAACTCACACAAAATCTGGAATCGGTAAGTTGAATAGTTTACAATTTATGGCCTTATAAACAAATTAACTAATTATTAGTCTGGACGATCCCCAGCATCTTCCACAATCGCACTGATTTTTTTCCTGGCAGATTTCATAATAATACATTGAAGTCTATAATTTGTTTTTAATTTCAAATTTGCAACCTGGAATTTTTTTTATTTTTTAGCCTTAGTTGCAAAATGAAATATACTATATATTATTACATCGGAAAGTTTATGAAAAGAGCTTTAAGTTAAAAAAAAAAATCGTCAAGATTCGTTGAAAAACAACGGAGTTACAGACTGTCAAATGTATTATTTTCAAGGGAATTTCGCTTTTTTAACGGCAGGACTATGAATATTATCGTCATTTTCTTCGGACTCGCTGTCGTTCGCTTCCCCTACCCTTCCGCCGCGCCACGGCTCGACGAAAATCAAGAAACCCACTGACTTTTGACAATATTTCTTATGCACTTAACATACTTCCACAAATAAAATATTTTTACCTGGGAAAGTACTCGGGTTGCCGGTTATGACAGTATTTTTTTTTCCGCTACCAACCTAATTTGTTTAACAATCGGCCGTCAACTTTGACAGTCTGTAACTCCGTTGTTTTTCAACGAATCTTGACGATTTTTTTTTTAACTTAAAGCTCTTTTCATGAGCTTTCCGAATATATAATAATATATAACTATATCACGCTCGTGTGTCCTATATTTCATTTTGCAACTAAGGCTAAAAAATTAAAAAAAAATCCAGGTTGCAAACTTGAAGTAAAAGAAAACTGATAGATTTCAACGTATTATTATGAAATCTACCTTGAAAAAAATCAGTGCGATTGTGGAAGATCCTCGGGATCGTCCAGACTAATAATTAGTTAATTTGCTTATAAGGCCATAACTTATAAACTATTCAACTTACCGATTCCAGATTTCGTGTGAGTTATTAGACAGTGATAAGGTCTTTTGAAAACGAAAAAAAGTACTTTACTGTTTTCTCGTGGAAATGAACGGAAAAAAGTTATAAGCAAAAAACATGAATTAACGTAAAAATTATACAATTAACCAGCCTGTAAACAATCTTCCCCCCATTTTTATGACTGTGGAAACTAATATGTTATTGTAGGTACATAATATTTAGCATCTATAGTGATAAATTCAGCTTGCCGAAACAAAAAGTCGCGAAATGGTAATTTCCCAGCTTATTTTCCTGGCCTAAATAATTTCTACCATGTTTTTTTCGGAGAAACAAAGCAGTCATCGATTATTTGCAATTTTTTATGTATATATTTTTTTATATATCACATGACGTGTTGTACTGGCCGAAGGAAAATATTTTGTGTACATATGACACCTTACTTTTAGAAATAGATGCTTTTTAATTTAATTTTGTATCTAGATTTAACAAGTCATTGTATCGGAAGTTTGGAACAATTTTTCATGAGTTGCATTAATAGCCTGTAAACATTTATGAAGACTGTAGCAATACCACTCGTACTAATTTCTTTTTCTATTATACCGTGTGTGCTCACGAATATAGTTACAAAGAGGGAAAACTTTTTTATTTCTTATTTTAGTAAATGTATTTTCTACATTTCTGTTGTATTTTTCCTTCATTTGAACAAAAGCGGAAATTTTTAACAAGGACCTTTTTCATAGAACGAGAAATACAAAATGTTTGCCTCTTTCCAACTCACGGAAAAAAACACTAAAACACTGCATTTATACAAAGAAGTACCTACTTGAAATATTGTTCCAGACAATAACTACTTTGTGATATACTTTTGTGCCATAGCCTAGCTCTTTATTTGCTTGCATTTGTACTTTATTCCAACAGTTGATCGCTAAAAGAATCGCTTCGTAATACTGTCATTTTTTACAGTTGAAAAAAGGTTGTTTAAGAAGTTTGCTTTTATCTACGTTTTAAATAATACGAAATGAAAGGACCTAATTGAAATCAAGCTCAGTACAGCGTGCAATATACCCTTAGAGTGTGACTAGATTTTAATAAAAAAAATTAACGTTAGATATGTACATATTAGATATTTATTTTTATTATTATTCAACGTCGCCGATAAACTCGATGTTATAATGAAAGTGTAGTTCATAAAACTAATTTTTAAAGAAAATATTTGTAAGTGTAAAGGAACGTTTTTAAAAACACAAACAGGATTTTAATTTTTTCGTAAATTATGTGATAGCTATGTATGTAAGGCCAAAAATGTAAGGAAGTTTGTAATTGCTTTAAAAATGGTAAAAACTTGGTTTTCCAATGTTGCCAAATTAATCGGAGTACAAAACTTTTATCTGCAGTCCAATTTAAGTCAGCTAACATGTTGGTTATTACACTCTTCAGATATGTGATACATATGTAAGTAAATTCGAATAAAATTGTTGTTGTTAACTTGTGTTTCATTCCTAATACCTATAACTTAATTTTCAGCTGAATATAGTATTACATTACAAAAAGACATAGGCAAAATGATTCATATAGATCTCCTATTCTTACAAATTACAGATTTTTGCCCACAAGTATTTTCAGAAGAAACACCTCTCCCATTGTCTTACCAATTAGAACAATTACTTGCAAGAACAGTACAAATATTGAGATCATTTCAATTCAAACGCCAAATATTTGTTTCGTCCTGCTAATCACCACTATATCGCAATTTGGTAGGTATGTTTTGATAATCCATATAGACAATAGAGACAATTAATTAGGACAACTAAGGAAAATGTCAAAACCGAATAATATTTGCACAGGGCAGTTTTTAATAGACGCGACATTCGGATTTGTTGACTTGTACAAATGTCGCCTTCGAGGTGTTATCAGACTGATCGAAAATGGTAAGTTTTTTAATGATTACTCTCTTGTTTTCGTATTTGGAAATCTAGTTGTATCTCTCACGTAACATTTTTTATATGAGTTTTTTTAATGCTCCAAACATTTCAAATTTATGACCCATTTTTCGAGATGTTTGAATTTCTTGCATCTTTACACCAAAGTATGCGTTCCAAAAAATTACTACGTTTTTATAACTATGGAGTTTCGTGATATTGTGACAAAATATAGATTATAAAGAAAAGCTGAGACTTCAAAGTTTCCAACTTGTACAAATATGTACAGGGTTAGTCACTATAATCTGACTGAACTTATTGTGAGTTTATTATTGAAATTACAAAAAAGTTTTTGGTTTTTCAATTCCATCTCGAGCTGCATTTTACGACGTTAAGCAACGCTTTAGAGAAACAAAATCTCTTGGAAGACAGAAACGAAGAATTATTCCAAATGAAGAATTAGAACTAACTATATTACTATATTTTCAATGTAAGCAAATATTCATTCGAGGTTCACCATGGTAAATTCAAATATAAAATTATTGTAGAAAGGCCACAAGAGTAAATGCTTCAAGACAATTAAAAATAAGCCGAAGTAAAATTATTAGAACGTTATATAAATATAAATACCGCCCCTATAAAACTACCGGTCCAAAAACTTGCCCAAAATCAAAAAATTCAGCGACTGCAGAGAAATGCTCTGCTTGAAAAATGGCGATCTAAACTATTTTGAACAGATTTTATGGACTGATGAGGCGACTTTTACAACAGCTGGCATTTATAATAGAAAAAATGCTCATACCTAGGCAAATGAAAATCCTCAGTATAATAGGGAAATTCCAAGTCAAGGACGTACATGGTTTAATGTTTGGTGCGGTATATTGAGAAATAAAATCATTGGCCCACTATTTTATGAAGGTGCTTTGACTGAGGAAAGATACTTGCATTTTCTTTAAAATCAAATAGAAAACAAATTAGAAGACCTGCTGCCGCTAATCGACGAATTTCCATTATTCAATTGTTTTTTCTAATACTGTATCATAAAAATTCGTAAAAAAGCTAAAACTTTTGTATTAAAAACTGTTTTGTAATTTCAATAATAAACTCACAACAAGTTGTCAGATTATAGTGACTAACCCCGTACATACGATTGCATATTCTGTCGATTTTGGACATTTAAGAAGTTTTCATTGGCAATCCGAGCAAATACATTCATTTACATCTGAATCTTCTCCAGATGTATGGTCGCTATGTCCGACATTTAGGTGCTGTCGAGTCAACAGAAGACTTGAGTGAAAAAGAGCAAGAGAAACGTAGACTAAAGGAGGACAAAGCCAGAAAAAAAGAACTTAGAGGACGGGGATCCCAAGGTTAGAGACAATTTTCTCTATCTCTGCAATATTTTTTCCGTAAATAAATCATAGTTCGCTCCATTTATACGTTTTGGTGTAATATTTTACGATTTTCTGAAAACAGGGAAATTAGCGAAATACCTAAGGTCGATATGGAGACGTACGTTCGCGAAACTAGGGGAAGACTGGGTCTTTTTGGCCCTTCTGGGTGTCATAATGGCGCTTGTCAGTTTTCTAATGGACAGAGGAATAGCTTTGTGCAATGAGGGTAAGCCATATTTTCTGTGTGTTCCCGAAAGTGAGGTTTAATTTTATGCCAAAATAATGCGTTTCACAAAATTTTACTCCAATAAAAATTTTATAAAAACAGAAATTAAATTTGAAGTTAAAGATTTCTCTGACGCCGGTCCTGTAATTATTAATCATAAATTGGCACTACCGTGCGGATATCAATCAGCGTTTGCCGTCATTTCTAACGTCGTCGTTCTTTGGCATTTTAATAATCGCCTTTATTCTAAATTTTGGTTTAGTTTTTTACATGTTGGTGATAATTTAAGTGGATATTATTTCTAATCTCCCAACAAATTTTTTTACTTACTAAATTTAGTAGTTTTTAGCAATGAAATTTATATGATTACGCACCTGAAACGGTCATCTTGTTCAGGACCGTAACGCACAATTAAATACCGGAAAAAACGAGTACCTATTTGATAAATTTTAATTTTAATAAAAAGGCAGGTGTTACAATCAAAACCCCACTTCCAAAACCACCCTGTATACTTATGGTTATTTATCAAACTGAAGACTAAATTTTTAATAAGTTCTTTTATGAAAAATTGCAAACATTTTTTAGACGCTTGCAAAATTTTTAACAAATACACGTTTATAGAACGGCATTGTTAAAACTATTTGTCAAGTAAACATAAAAAATATATGTATCTATTTTTCTTTATTTATAGCGAGATTGTGGCTATACAACAAGTCAGCCTACAGCCTAACGACACAGTACGTGGCATGGGTCGCACTTCCGGTTATTCTAATATTGTTTAGTTCCGGTTTGGCTCAACTGGTAGCCCCTCAATCTATAGGTGAGTTAAATAAAGCCAAATGTGAATCTCATCGCGTTAGGCCAGTCTTAATCTAAAGCTCCTCACACATCCAGAACAAAATCTAATTGATTCTTCTAACAATTTAGTCCAACTGACCATCTACAAGCAAAAAAAATTTCTTGCTTCAAATGTACAACATTTGAAGGTGAAGGTTGATTTTAAGGTATCGCACGTTTATATACAGTGTGTCCCGTTTTTCAGGTTAACACCTCTGGAAATGTGAGAAGGCTGTGGACTTTGCGCAAGCCAATTTTTTTACAAATAATGCCCTGATAGGAGGTTATATTCTACTAATCATTTTATTGATGTGACAAAAGCCTGGCCTACTACGATTTTTTAAAAGGGTCGTTTTTCCAGAAAGTAGTATTAGGCATTTTTTTATTAAAAAGATAATATTACCAGGCTATTCAACACCTATTAAAATACCCATATACCAAATTTGAACGACAAATGTCTATTGAGTGTTTTTTTATGTAGTGCCAAACTTCGGAACATCAGATAACGAAAAATTATAATAAGCCGGTCAAAGATTGCCATGAAAGTGAAAACAAATACCAATCGGACAAATAAATTTAATACTTTTAATTATATTCATTCATTATTATTAATTAATTATAAAAATAATAACTTCTCTATTACAACCAGGTAGTAGGTCTCAATAGATATAAATACAGGATTTTATCTGTTTTAAAATTTGAGAAAAAAATTTAAAACTCGACCGCCATTTTTAAACGACCGTAACTCCTTAACGAATCGTTTCCGGACATACGTCCATAGGAACTTTTTTCTTATTTTCCGATTCCCAATTCGTATTTAAAATTTTTGCATATAATCCTGAAACACCCTGTATATTTTAAGGAGCTGGTAGTTTTGAAACAAATATGTTTGCAGTTTATGGTGAACTGTAACAGATATTGTAGCTAAAGTCCGAGATAATACATTTCAAAACTATAAAAGATTTGAATTAAATTATATATATTTACAAATAATATAAAATAAGAAAAAATTAAGAAAACAGCATGGTATAGATTTTGGGTAACGCCTTCATTAAAAAAATATTGCGCAAAAATGCCCAAGAAAAAACAAATAAACTATGTCAATTTCGAAAAAAACACGCTCTTTTACCACTGACTTCGAATATATCTTATATAGTCCAGGCGGTACTTGTTTCGGATTGGGTAAAACGCATATGATCGGAGATTTATGCTTTAACGGCTTCTAAATAACATCAGAAATGATAATATTTCTATGCAAATAAAAAAAAACGTAGGCTTAATTGTTATTGCAAAAAAGTATTAAAAAATAGCAAAAAAATTCATTTTTTTCTTGGATTTCTCGTCGACAACTTAGCAACTATTCGTTTTAGACAAAAATGGAAGAGGAAAAAAGTTTTGTAATTAAATTTTGATCAAGATAGAGTTAAAAAATAATTATTGTTGTTGCAAAAATCGGAAAAATCATTTAAAAAATTTCAAAAAATGCTAGTTTATTTGTAAATTTTTATCAGACACTTGAATAATACCTAGGATCTTCATACTTTTTCCAATTAAACTTCTTAGTGCATAGAATCATCACACCAAATTTCATCCAATTCGGTTCGATAGTTTTTACATAATAATTGTTTAATTTTTTTATTTTTTTTTAATTAAAGAATTTTCAAAATAAAATTTCTAAAAATCTAACGCCTTTGAATACTTGAAAATTTCACCACAAAAAGAAGAGCTCTCAAGCTTTAAAATGGTTTTTGAAAAATTCAAATCGGACGATTAGGTGAGCCGTGGTGATTGTTTAAACATTTTCGCAATTTTCACGCTTATAAACAATTGCAATAATTTAATGTTTTTTCAAATTATTTTTTATTTTAAAATATGGTTTGAAAATACTCGGAAAGGCGAGTATTTAAAAAAAACATGATGGTCCACCCATAACTTTCGGAGTTATAGCCCGTTAAAGTTAACCCTTATTTACAGCAAAACTATAAGGGCTGTTTTTTGAACCAATAGGTTTGTTATTCCGAGTACTTTCCAGATATAAATTTTCAAAATTTGCAATCACGGGCGTCCCATATAAAATGTCACTCAAAGATATTCAAGACCGCGTGAAATCAATGAGGTATCAGTGGTGGGGGGAGCAAACACACAGCTACTCCGATCTGAATTCTCGAGTTCAAAATTGCGACACTAGGAAAAATTTTACTTATTTCAGCGTCTAATGGACCAATTACGATGATTTTTTTTTAAATCGATGTCTCGCAACTAAAAAATTCAATTATTATATTTTCAACTACATTTTATTATTAATTATTGGACTTTTGACATGCCGATAAAAAAAAATGATTAATTTATTATGTTTATTTATTTACTATGTTAATTTTCACGACCAAAATTTTTGCATGTTGCACCATGTTGTTTGTATTAATTAAGTATCCTAAAGATTCTTATACTTTTTTTTATAAATAAAAAAAATTTTAGATAAATATTTTAAAAGTAAACGAAAAAATTAAAATTATAATTATTCACAATTTATGTGAGTAATAATTTTTGAAAGACTTTTAGAAATTTATCCTACAACTAAAAATTAATACCAATTTTCAATTGTTTATTTAAATAATTATTGTTTAAACAATTTTATTATATTTAAACAAACTTACTAGTATTACCAAAAATTTGAGAAGAACATTAAATTATTGCAATTGTTTATAAGCGTGAAAATTGCGAAAATGTTTAAACAATCACCACGGCTCTCCTAATCGTCCGATTTGAATTTTTCAAAAAGCATCTTAAAGCTTGAGAACTCTTCTTTTTGTGGTGAAATTTTCAAGTAATCAGAGGCTTTAGATTTTTAGAAATTTGATTTTGAAAATTTTTCAATTTAAAAAAAAATAAAAAAATTAAACAATTATGTAAAAACTATCGAACCGAATTGTATAAAATTTGGTGTGATGATTCTATGCACTAAGAAGTTTAATTGGAAAAAGTATGAAGATCCTAGGTATTATTCAAGTGTCTGACAAAAATTGACAAATAAACTAGCATTTTTTGCAATTTTTTAAATGATTTTTCCGATTTTTGCAACAACAATAATTATTTTTTCGAATTGCAACTAACTCTATCTTGTTCAAAATTTAAACACAAAACTTTTTTTCCTCTTCCATTTTTGTCTAAAATCAATAGTTGCTAAGTTGTCGACGAGAAATCCAAGAAAAAAATGATTTTTTTTGTTATTTTTTTATACTTTTTTGTAATAACAATTAAGCCCACGTTTTTTTTTATTTGCATAGAAAAATTATCATTTCTGATGTGATTTAGAAGCCGTTAAAGCAAAAATCTCCGATCATATGCGTTTTACCCAAGTACACCCTTTGTAAGACAGATACCGCCTGGACTAATAATAGAGCCATGGTCCCACATGTAGATGGTGTGACAGATGCGGATTTTAAATAAATAATCTCAGTACTTGTATTTCTCAGGTTCGGGCATTCCGGAGATAAAGACCATCCTCCGTGGGGTAGCCATGAAGGAGTACCTGACGTTCCGGACGCTGGTGGTGAAGGTCATAGGGCTGACGGCCACCTTAGGCAGTGGCGTACCCGTGGGGAAGGAAGGTCCTTTCGTCCACATAGCCAGCATGACCGCTGCTCTCCTAGGCAAGCTGATCACGAGGTTCCAAGGCATCTACCAGAACGAGAGCAGAGCCACGGAGATGTTGGCCGCTGCCTGTGCCGTTGGAGTTGCCAGCTGCTTCGCTGCACCAGTAGGAGGTCGGTAAATCTTCCTGAGATTGGACCAAATGAATCTACGAATTTTATTTTCAGGTGTACTCTTCAGTATAGAAGTAACGACGGTTTACTTTGCCGTTCGAAATTACTGGCGGGGCTTCTTCGCGGCTGTCTGTGGAGCCACGACCTTTCGCCTTCTAGCCGTGTGGTTCCAAAAAGCGGATACAGTAACTGCCGTCTTCAAGACCAATTTCCATATGGACTTTCCCTTTGATCCGCAAGAATTGTTCGTCTTCGCTTTGATAGGGTAAGGCAGAAAAGTGTCTTGGACTCCATTCGCTTATCTGGTCTTCCATTAAGTTCGATGTGAGACATAATGGATGTAAACCATTTTTCAAGTACTCAATACTCACAAACACTAACTATTCATATCAGAAAGTCTTTGCTCGTTTCAATTGCTTGGTTGTTCAGACTGAGAATTCATTGTTTACTATACAACAGTCTTGATCTGCTAAATTCATTCATTTATGTCTACTAAACCATGCAACCTCAGTCATCTGAATGTATTACCTGAACACTATGCGAAATGAACGGCACATTACAATTCACTATAGCATATTGTGGAAATTCTTTCTTTATTCCAGAGCCATTTGCGGTGTGGGAGGAGCTTTCTACGTCTGGGTCCACAGGCGATACGTAATCTTCATGGGCAATAGCAAGATCCTGAATTTCTTAAAGAAGAAAAAGTAAGTTTCCAACGCACGTCCTTGTAACATAATAAACCGTATTCGATCCTCCAGCCGCTTGTTGTACCCTGGCGTCGCCACTTTGATCGTCTCATCGATAACGTTTCCACCAGGTGCCGGCCAGTTCATTGGAGGTGAACTGTTGGGGAACAATCAAGTAGTGTCGCTCTTCACGAACTTCACGTGGACAGGGGACAATGCTACCATCGAAGAAAAGGATGTAATCCTGCAATGGACTAATCCCTGGACTGATGTCGTCGCCAACTTAGCACTGTACACAATATTCACTGTAAATATACAGGGTGTTAATGAACTTATGTCAAATATTTTTGCCATATGTCCGTTATGTCAAAATACACGGTTTTATATTGAGTAAAATGTAATTTTTAAAATCTGTACCTCAACATTGCAAGGAAGCACTTTTTGAGAACTGCTGATTTTCATAGAAGATGTTCGATGCACCCACCATTTGCTTGCACACAACCTTCAGCGCGGCGTATCCAATTCGCTCGCACGCGTTGCAACATTGCCACGTCCTCGCGAATCGTATTACAAACTTTGGCAATATGATGTCGCAGTTGGTCGATGTTACGTTGAATACACTTTTCACATATCCCCACCAAAAAAAGTCTAAAGGGGTGAGATATCTTCGGATTAACCCCCCTAATTGTATCTAAGATAAATTCCCAATCTATATAATGTATACTTTAGGCCCTAATGGCAAAAGTGCGGTGTCCGCCTCCACGCTTTCAGTCGAACACCTCCATTGGTACACCCGGTACAACCCTCAGTTCCCACTCCTGTGTCTTGGTTTACATTAGAATGCGACTATTTACGCTAATCTGGGAAAGTTTTAATTGATTGCCGATTTCATGATCCTATTTATTTGATAAGGATTTTGATGGGTGACTATGAATTTACAATCTCTTTAATGTAATTAAATTCAGCTAACACCTTCCTCCAGTGACCGTGGTTATTCTTAGAAGGCCTAACTATTGAGCCCCCGTTTTCTTGTAAACCGTCCCATAAATTACGCGGATCTGGTTTTTGCTACACATCAGTTAACTCAGTTTTAGCTCCTTTTTCACCCCTATAAATTTTTGACATAAGTTCATTAACACCCTCTATATAATTTTGGCGGGCAACGACAATTTCAGTAACAATGCTAATTAGTAAATCAATTATTAATTAATGTACCACCTCCATCTGTTCCTTTCAGTTCGTCGCTTCAGTGATCTGCACAACAATGCCTGTGCCTTGCGGCCTCTTCATACCAGTTTTCAAGATTGGTGCCGGATTTGGCCGGATGGTAGGGGAGCTGATGCACATCTGGTTCCCTACAGGTAATTTCGATCGAATTTTATACCATTCGTGACTTTGATGGAAATAAGTTCTATTAGGAATGAGATATGGTGGCAACGTAGCAAAAATCATCCCTGGGGGATACGCAGCGGTGGGTGCTGCAGCGTTTAGTGGTTCCGTCACCCATACCATCTCCGTATCAGTGATAGTGTTTGAAATGACGGGACAGATCACCCATATAATACCGATTATGATCGCCGTTTTGATCTCAAACGCTATAGCGAGTCTGTTGGCACCCAGCATCTACGACAGCATTATAATGATAAAAAAATTGCCTTACGTACCGGATTTACTACCGACTAGTAGTGGTAAGTGCTCATATACAGTGCGTTCAAGATGAAAGGAACAAATTCGTTTAACATTCTGGTAATTATTTTATGGAAAAATGCTCGGACACTTCGATTGGCATTTTTAGTTGCGGAATTTTTGACATAAGAAAATTGTATACATATTACCTGAATTTTAAACGAAATTGTTCCTTTCATCATGAACGCACTGTATATTATATTACCAACTAAATGAATCTAACTCATGATTTTTCTTAGGTATTTACAGGATATATGTAGAAGACTTCATGGTAAGGGACGTCAAGTATATTTGCTATGGTACAACTTACAAACAATTATTATTTGTTTTAAAAGAGAATAACCATTTACAGAGTTTTCCTTTAGTTGACAAACCAGAAAGCATGGTTTTGTTAGGGTCCATACAAAGGATTCAGCTTGTACAATTGATAGAATATCAGATAGGAAGAGAAAAACGAATACAGGTACACCTGCGACACAAAATCTTATGTGAGACGATAAAAATATTACTATGACCTTAGGTAGCAACCCTTCGAAGGAGAACAGCAGAAATAGAATTGAAAACTGTTGAAGATGGACAGAGAAGACCATCTATGCTGAAGAAACAGATGTCTGAGAACCAGTTAGATCAAGTTAGTAACGACCAAATTAATTAACGAGTTTCATTTGAAATCCTAATACCTATTTTAGACAACAGTATACAATCAAGGATCGAGAACAAAGAAGTCCGTTTGGAAGAAAGCTAACACATTCACTTTTAGACCATTCCCCTCAACTAATTCCGTGTCAAATCCTTACCAGACAGTAACTAGTCCAGATAATAGAATACGGTTTGCACTCGATTCAATTTTCAGGTAAATTTGAAGGGTTGTATTAGATTCGCTTTGTCTAGTTTCATGTTTTACGTAGTGCGTCAAGTAATCTTCAAGATGCAGACGATGAAGCTAGCCAAAACCAAGACATCTTCGATGGATCTTTGAGCAATAAGATCGAGGTTCTCCCTATGACCTCAGCATCGTCGAATAGTGTTCATTTGGTAAGGATCATGATGATTCATGCCTAGGGATGAATTATTTGACAATATATCCAATTTCAGTACTAAATACGAAACTTTTAGTCCTTACTTATTTTTTTTTTAGTCATTGGAAGGGATCTGCGACATGGACCACAAAGAACAAACGAAGTGGGAGGAAGAACAGATGGCCGTTCCCGTAGACTTCTCTACTTGTCACATAGACCCAGCGCCCTTCCAATTGGTAGAGCAAACGTCCCTACTCAAGGTCCACTTCCTTTTCTCGATGGTGGGGGTAAAGTACGGTTACGTAACAGCAATCGGGAAATTGGTGGGGGTGGTGGGGTTGAAGGAGCTTCGTAAAGCCATCGAAGACGCCAATAGCGGCGCTCTTCCTTACGCCGATGATGAAAACGATGACGAAACGTTTTGTATTGACGATAAAGACTGTTCAGTGGGACAAGGGACTGATTCAGCGATGCTGTCCAAGGATTCAGAAGTGTGATTTTTACAGAAGGGATGTGGATGCAGATTTAACTGACAGCAAGCAGTTGATGGATCTGGTTATAGTCTCAGTTATATTTTAACTGATTTTGAAAATTATGGAAAATGTGATAAAAATTTTTCAAACTGTAAAATGTGGCCTTACAAATAAATGTCAATTACCCGTTTCAAGTACTTGATAGACTTCTGACCGTATCTTTTAAGCAATGAAAAATGTGTTTAGTTGAATGTTTCGCCTACTTAAAAAAAATATTAAAAATGCTATTGGTTGCCTATTTTTTTATTTCAAGTTCAAATAAAAAAAAAATGTATTCAAATAAGATTAGCAAAGGTATCTTAATTATATGGTGCATTTCTAAAAAACGAATCTAACCATAGCTTCGCTTATTTGAAAATTTACTGAATTCTAGACTTATAATTAAAATCTGACAGATAGGCTTTTCATGACAGATAATGTGATATTAATAGTTATTTATTGTATAAGTGTTTTTATGCGCTATAACGCAGGTAGATATTACAACCAACCAATCGGCAAGAATACCCTTTCTATGATTCCTAATAAGATTGCGCAGTTTTTTGAAACTAGAACATCCTGAAACATATACAGGCCATTCATTCCAAAGAACATCGGCAACGTTACTGGCTAATACAGGAGTTGATGTATTAGCAATCAGGAGACGTGGTGGGTGGAAATCAGCCACAATTGCAGAAAGTTATGTTGGTGGCAGTTTCAGTGACAAAAATTAAATAGCCAACAGGATTCTTTACAATGACACTTCAACTCTAGGTTCAGTCAGATAATATTGAGCCTCCGGTGACAGAAATGGAGCGGTCAAATCATTTTGAGAAAAATGTGACAATTAGTAAACGCGAGGGAAATAATTATCCAGATTTTATAAATGTTACTAAATGTAACAACTTTACAATTACTATAAATATTCATTCATAATAATTAATAAAATGTAATGTTCATCAAATATGTCTATTTATTCGTTCATAAAATATGTATTTATAAGTAGAAATCGCTTTTTTCCCTAGGAAGGTCAGTTACCTTCCGTTGTCCACAGCAACTTCCACTTCTACAGTAAAATCCACTTACCTCCTAGTCTATTTACTATAGTGGTAGCAGATAAAATGTTTTTTATATTCTTCAATAAATTTAGGTGGAACAGATTTATTACCCTCTTCAAATCCTCACCTTGAACCGTCCCTGTATCAAATCCGATTAGATAATGCATCTGTTTTATAATAATAAATAGATAGATCATTAGAACGCGTGTTATTATACTAATTATAACTTAAAAAAAAAGGAAGACGCCATCAAGCAATGTCAAACGATAAGTGGCGTAATCGACTCATCCACGAATCCGTCTGAATTAAATAATTCCAAGACAATTGAAAAATTGCTGACCATTCACGGCAATCTAAGACGTCTGTCTGACGGATGGTTAACGTCCAGGATTAAGTGAGAAAAATGATGACGAATCCACGACAAGTCTTTTGTCCGACGGCCGTTATCTCTCGCGAATCTGATCCGTCAGAGGGAAAATAATCAGTTGGCGTGGTAATTCGAAACAGAAACAAGTGAAAATGGACTATTTGTTAGTGCCGACTCGCTAAACGTTTCGTTTAATTGGCCACACGTATCACGCGTGTTACTTTTGCATTTATTTGATCAAAATATTTATATGCCGCGCCGCGGTTCGTTAGTAACACCGAACTAGTTATTTGCGAATTACAGATCGGGGTTTTCCTTAACTTACTGCGATAATTGTGGACTGCGGCAAATTCGTATGAACGATGTTCAAGAGGTACGTCATTTGTTAAAAATAGTTTCTTAACGAGATAAAATACAAGACGGACCAAGTTAGAAGTGACTGAAGTTACTTCAGAAATAAAGGAAATTTGGTTCACCGCCGTTGCAAGAAAAATGAAAGAGCAAACAGGAAACTTGACTTAAAATCCCGTCTTGGTAAGTCGATCGCCCCAAAACTAATGACACTGAATTAATTTTTAATAATTTCAGTTCTGGATCACTGTCTTTCCTTTGGCACTAACTAAATCTGTAGAGTTTTCCACCAAAATAATAATTTCTAAAAGTTTCCTATAAACCTCTGAGGTCTCCAAAAATTCACATTTAGGAAAACATTCGCATATGCGACTTCTAAAGTAAATGAACCGACACAGAACAAATATACTTAGATGAACTTTTAATATAAATTTTCGAAGCTCTCAGAACAACATACAACTTTTATAGAAAATTATTTTCCTAAAGTCGAAAATAAAAAAAATACAGAAGTGGTCATCTTCTTGTACTAAGCTTTGTACAATGCCTTGTTATTTTTTAGTTAAAACTGCTTAGTTCCAAACTAAAACAGCTAAATACTGCTGAGAGAACAATGTGAGACATCGGAAGCGAAGTGTCAAAGTCAAAGAAATTTCTCGCATCTTTCCAAAAACTACAATGGACGAAAAAGAAACACACTTAGACGAGGGCAACATAGAGGAAACCGATAAGGAATGGGAGGATTTCGCCAAGTTGCTGGAGCAACAGAGAAGGAAGCAGTCGCAGACATTCTACCCCTGTCCACCCCCTGAGGACGTGGAGGATTACGTGCAGACATTGGTACGTTATCAAATTCGCTTTCACACAACTTACAGACGCTTGTGTTTACTATTGAATACCAGGTGTAATAGCAGTTTTAAGTATTAATTAATTATAATTTGTGTAGAATGTAGGTGTGCCAAATGAAAATCAACAAAAAATTATACAGGGTGGCAAATGAAAACGAAACAGAGCCATTTTCAGGTACTGCGTCAAGATTGTAGAAAAATGCTCAGACCCGTCGATTTTAGATTAAAAGGGGACATTATTTGCTGGTATTTTTGACACCGCCACTTTCACCCCCAAGCAAGGGTAAGTATGACCCCAAAATATCTAAATGGCATTGGGGGTTGAGTAATATTTCTTTTGAAAGCTCTTACTTAATGTAGGATCAAGATGAACTTGTTAGTTAATTGTTCGTCAATATTTGGACCAACGGTTTCTACGGAATTGGATTGGGAGAAGAGGCAGCATTGAGTGGCTTCCACGATCTCCTTGATTTCTTTTTGTGGGGATACCTAAAATGTAAAATCTATAAAACACAGCCAGCGTCGCTGGAAGATTTGCGTCAAAGAATCGTCGACGAATGCCGTCGAATCACTCCGGAAATGCTTCGGAATGTGCGCGAACGTTTCGAACAAAATCTTTATTCTTGTATGGAAGCGGGCGGTCATCAATTTGAACATTTAATCAACTAAGTAGTAAGTAAGCAATTAAACATAATTTAAATTTTAAATGTAATTTTTTTTCAAAGTATTGGGCGGAATTATAAAATTTAAAGTCTGTTGTAAAGAGAATTGTAAGAGCTTTCAAATGAAATATTACTCAACCCCCAATGCCATTCAAATATCTTGGGGTAATGCTTATCCTTGCTTAGGGGTGAAAGTGGCGGAGTCAAAAATACCAGCAAAGAATGTCCCCCTTTAATCTAAAATCGACGGGTCTGAGCGTTTTTCTACAATATTGACGCAGTTCCTGAAAATGGCTCTGTTTCGTTTTCATTTGGCCACCTTGTATTTGTAGATGTATGGCAAATACAACAGATTGGGGCAAGCTGCAAAATTGGAGAGCTTAAAAGCTGCCGAAAAGAGAAGACTGAGAGAAGAAAAAGCACGAAAAAACGAGTTACGAATGTACCAAGGTATTTTTACATAGTTCGCAAGGATTAACAGAATTAACACCCCACACCCTTTTCCAAATAATAATAAAAATGAAATTAAAATGAATTTTAAGAATATTTTTTTTATTAATATACTATTATTAACGACTGGCTTGTTCATATAATTATTTAAATCTTGATAAATACAGCATAATAATACTGTGTAATTTTATTATGCAGGTAAATTTGCGAAATCTATCCACTTTTTATGGAAACATACTTTCGCCAGACTAGGAGAAGACTGGGTCTTTTTGGCACTGTTAGGGGTGATCATGGCATTGCTGAGTTTCATTATGGACAGAGGAATATCAGTTTGCGACAACGGTAAGTACAAACCTGAGCTAAACGCAAATCCGATTGTCTAAATACATATGTTAAAAAACAGGGTCAAACGTTACTTAAAAAAGAAAACGCTTAACGTTTATTACATTTTCTCACTAACACATTAAAATGCTGTTCAATTGACATGTTTCCAACATACGTGCGTGATAAAAGATATAGCAGACGCTATTACCTCAGCCGAATAATTTTGCTTATGTATACAATCGTAAATATACTGTTTTGCCTCATAGAAAAACAGTATTTTTTATTGGAAAAGTTTAGTGACTAATATTTGTTCTTCTTTTCTAAAAGTTCAAATAGAATGTTATAAGTAAGCTTAGTGCGGCGCGAAGTTTAACAGGACCGTAGTCAGATTACGAATGAAAATATTAATATGTTTACAGAAAATATGTCGCAACATGGTACTATTACCAAAGAACAAGGCTAAGTAGAGGATAAAGTACCTATATAAATTTAACTGACACCACTTACCCGATAAATCTTAGTGTTAAGACAAGGTTTCCATGGCATATTGGAAGGAGTTAAAACATATTACTACGTGCTTTTCTAAGTTTTCTTTAGTGAAATGGCCATGTTTATCACTTAATATTGACTTGTGTAGGGAAAATGACCGTTCAACGTCTACTGTTGACAACGGACAGCATGAGAAATTGTTGAGGCATACATATTATAATAGAATGAATTGATTTTAAAAATATCAAAGGGAAAGGTAAACTTTGGAAAATAAAATTAGTAATATTGATTTTAAAGAAATAAATTATAAGTTGAATAAGTGTGACCAATAGGAGTACAGTAGATTGTTGAAATTGAGAAAGGAAAGACAAATTAAATAAAAATTAGTATACGATCAATTAAAATTTTTGTAAAAAAAGAAATTTCAAACAAAATTTAAAGAATTATAAAGTACATTCGAAATTAAAAATGTGATTGGTAATTAAAATTCGAATTACTAGAATTAGAAAGTCAAGAGAGTGAAAAAAAAATGTTTTATTCTAAGGTCCGTGAGTAAATCGTACATTCCAGGTTCATACTTTAATTAAGGGAAATTATATTGAAAAATAAAATTATATAAAATTTCGCTTCGGTACTTAAAATAATGATTTCTAGCATCATTAAAATTATATCGAAGCGTCTATATTTACGTTTACATTTAAATATATGAAAAAAATATGTCTTCCAGCAAGGATATGGTTATTCAGAGACCTGACCATGCACCCAGCTGCCCAATACGCTGCTTGGATATCCCTACCAGTCTGCTTAATTCTATTTGGCACCGGTTTTGTCCAACTCGTAGCACCACAATCTATTGGTAAATTTACAGCATCACTATTGAATCCTCTATACTTCCAAGACATTTTAATTTCATGGAATTGTATACCGTTCATTTTAGGTTCTGGTATACCCGAAATGAAGACCATCCTCAGAGGGGTGACCCTGAAGGAGTACCTGACGTTTCGAACCCTGATAGCCAAAGTGGTAGGGTTAACAGTGACCCTAGGAAGCGGCATGCCTTTGGGTAAGGAAGGCCCCTTCGTCCACATCGCCAGTATCACAGCTACCCTCCTCAGCAAGCTGGTCACTGGGTTCCAGGGCATCTACGAGAACGAGAACAGGACCACGGAGATGCTGGCGGCTGCTTGCGCCGTCGGGGTGGCCAGCTGCTTCGCGGCGCCCGTTGGAGGTCAGTTATAAGATCCAGTAAGAGCCAGTACTGGCAGTAGTAAAATTTATCTTCACACTTTTTGTAAGTTATGGATCTTATCCCATTGTTTATTGTGATCTCTTTAGGTGTACTGTTCAGTATAGAAGTAACCACAGTATACTTTGCCGTCCGCAACTACTGGAGGGGATTTTTCGCTGCTGTGTGCGGCGCCACAACGTTTCGACTCTTAGCAGTGTGGTTCCAAAGGGCAGACACCGTAACTGCCGTTTTTAAGACCAATTTCTACATGGACTTCCCCTTTGACCCTCAAGAGTTGTTTGTATTTGCTCTGATGGGGTAAGAGTCTAATAATAATTCATTTTTTTTTGTGACCAACTTAGAAGTTGCCGTTAGCGGTTGATTTTTACGCTGTCGATGACATTTCGTTCTCTTTATTCTGAAGAAAGAAGCTACATGTCTTTCGAAGCGCCAGAATCTTTAAACATACCTACTTTTTAAATAAATTCGGTTGATTCCAGAGCAATTTGTGGCTTGGGCGGAGCATTCTACGTCTGGGTGCATCGACAGTACGTGATGTATATGAGACACAGCAGACTCATCAACAGTTTCCTCAAGAAAAAGTAAGTAGAGATCTTGGAGGTACTTGTACCTAATAAGGCTTGAACTCCGTCTCTCCCTCAATACCAAGAGCTTTTAGCACCTGCGAAATAGCAGGTTGCTCTCTGCTAGTTTGACCCTTTGAAGGTCTGAATAATAAGTATCAGCGCATCCTCACTCCATATCTATAGTTAAGACCACAAAAATAGTTGGATTATTGAGTCAGTTATTCCACCTGTGACAGACCGATGAGAACTAATATCTTTGAAACCGGTATATGTCTGGTGGGTTCTATCTAATCCTAGATATCACGGGTATAATGCAACGATCGTCGCAGAGTAGTTATTTGAGGATAAAGTGACACCCTTCCCATTCTTGCAGTCGATTTCTCTACCCCGCGCTGGTGTCGCTCCTCCTCTCCACAGTGTCCTTCCCCCTCGGCACCGGCCAGTTCATAGCTGGAGACCTGAACACTCACGACCAGGTAGCCTCGCTCTTCAGCAACTTCACCTGGACAGACGAGAACCTCACCGTCGCCGAGTACGCCACCCTCAGCCACTGGAGGACGCCTTGGTCGGGCGTCTGCGTCAACCTGGCCTGCTACACCGTCTTCACAGTGAGTTTTTTTGCTGTTACGAGCGACAGCTCCAAACCGATCAAAACTGTTTTCAGTTCATATTCTCCATCATCTGTTCCACGGTGCCCGTACCCAGCGGTAGCTTCATCCCCGTCTTCAAGATCGGTGCCGGATTTGGAAGAATTGTGGGCGAATTGATGCACATGTGGTTTCCGACAGGTAAAGCAAGTGTAGTTTTTGACCTAAACGAATTTAAAAATGTTAAATGTGGCTTAGCGTCGGTTTAGTTGTTAGGGCGTCGCAGTAGTGGTCCGGATCGCTATGAAAAGCCGTGCCAAGCCACTGTCATTCATGTTATTCACGTTTTGCATTATAAACTACAACAATAGCTTCTCCTGTCATTTTAGGGATGAGGTATGGTGGAAAAGTGGCGGAAATCATCCCCGGGGGATACGCAACGGTGGGAGCCGCAGCCTTCAGTGGCTCTGTCACCCACACCATCTCCGTATCGGTGATAGTATTCGAGATGACCGGCCAAATCACACACATAATACCGATTATGATCGCCGTTTTAATCTCCAACGCCATAGCTAGTTTGTTGTCGCCCAGTATCTACGACAGCATCATACTCATCAAGAAACTGCCATACCTTCCAGATTTATTACCAAGTAGCAGTGGTAAGTTCATAATTTTACATCCCAAGGTCCATAACTTTGATTTTTGTAACATATTTCAGGCATGTACAAAGTTTGCGTTGAAGACTTCATGATAAGAGACATAAAGTACATTTTCTACGGAATGACTTACGAGCAGTTGAAAACCCTTTTAAAAGACAACAGGCGATTGCTTTGCTTCCCTCTCGTGGACAACCCAGGAAACATGGTCTTGCTTGGGTCAATTCAAAGGATGCAACTCATTCAACTGATAGAGAAACACATCGGAAAAGACAGACGTTTGCAGGTACAACGATGTCATCGAACTTTGTATGATTTTTAACGACTGTGTTTCTAGATCGCAGCCATTAGACAGAGAGAGGCAGCCGAGAGAGCTCTGGAAGAAATGAGACAAGCGGAAGAGAGAAAGAGAAGGCCGTCTAGATTTCAAGTGGTGCCAGCACCAGATATGCTTCAAAGGCAAATGTCGGAGAACCACTTAGATCAGGTACCTTTAACACAATGCAAAGTTATTGATCTGCAATTGGTTAATTTTTCCTAGCAACCAACGTACAACCCCGTCTTTGGTTCTCAACCCAAGAAGTCGATTCTTAAGAAGACCAACTCATTCACCCTCAAGGGATTCAGTCCTTTCGTTTCCACCAGCCCAGGGAGTACCCCTTACACGACAGTTACAGGGGCTGAGAGCAGGATAAGGCTTGCCTTTGAAAATATCTTCAGGTACAGAAGATTTCCAATTAAAAAGATTTACGTAAAGTATTTCGTCTCTTATTTATAGAAAATCCGCCCAACTGCAAGATGTCGACAACAATGAAAGTCAACGCGGTCTAGACACTGCTAGAGATTCCATAGATGGCAAAGAACATATCGTCCCAAGTAGCCCAACTACTTCGAAGAAGGTTCAACTTGTAAGTAGATTCGTCACCATCCATATTTCATTGATTCACTGATCAAAAGCTTGTCTTTCGGTACTTACGCTTCGACATCTTTCAGCCCAAGGAAAGAGTTTGCGACATGAGTCCAGAAGATCAAAGGAAGTGGGAGGAAGAACAGATGCAACTACCGGTAGATTTTTCTACTTGCCACATCGACCCATCCCCTTTTCAGCTGGTAGAGAAAACGTCCCTACTCAAAGTCCACTCTCTATTTTCCATGGTGGGGGTGAACCTTGCCTACGTCACCGCCATCGGGAAGTTGGTGGGGGTGGTTGGTTTGAAAGAGTTGAGGAAAGCGATCGAAGACGCGAATAGCGGACACGTGCCGGCTGTTAATGAAAATAATAACGAGGTGGTTAGCGCTAGTGATGTGAAGGATTTCGTGAACAGCGAGCATGAATCAATCACAAGTGACTCTAGAGTTTAAGTGGAGGATATAGAATTTTAATTTTATACGTTGAACAAAACATGTTTGTTGTACCGACTGTAACACATATTAGTTTATATTTAGTTAATATTTATTAAAATTAAATTACTATATTGAATTGACAGTATACTATAGACGGAATGTAGAGAGAGAGACAGACAGACAGACTTATAGTCCAATTACGTGCCAAAATTTGGTTCAATAAACAAAGACACGAAAAAATTAGGAAAAATTCCGTAGAATTGAATGAGCTGACTGTTAGGGTTTCATTTTCAAAATGGCGTCCAAAGGTCGCAAAAAATAGTTTTTTTCATAAAAAAAAAATTTTACATTTTAGAAAAAAATGTTTTGGACAAAAGTTGTAGAACTTTTTATAACAAAAATTTTGAGCCAAGACAATTGCCATGTCAATTGATAAACAAATGTATTAGTTATTGCAAAAAAACGGCTGAAAATCGCATGTTTTTTAATTTCTATCTTTGAAAAAAAAAAAATTACGAAACTTTCAGAATATGTAGTAGTAGAATAAGTAGAATAAGTGCATTTTTGTAAAATTGCAAAATATTTGATAGCTTTTGCAAAAATTGAATTTTTCGAAAAAAAAGACATTTTTTTTCAAGTTTCAATAAATCATACAGTAATGCACTTACGTGACCCATCTTGGGCTTAAAATTTTCTCTAAGAGTTGTACTTTCCTGTGCAAATTGTGCGCGTATTGCAAAATAATTGGAAATACGCGAAAAATCTACCGAAACTTTGACTTCTTTTTTTTGGATCGAAATATGTAGATCTTTTTCTTATCGTTAAAATTTAATCGGAATGGCATTATTGCCATTTGAAACCTGACATATTTTCACGAATTTAAAAAAATGTCCTACGACCACGATACGAAACATACAGAGTGATTCACAAATGGTGACCAAAAATGAAACCTCGTATTCTTTGGTAAATTTTAAGGGGAGTCTTTCCTATAAAGTTTTTATAGAAAATTGAAAGACGAATCCGAAAATATCATGGTTGTTACTGTAAAGCAGTGGCGTACTATTTTATTTAGAAAAATATGCCACCGATACCCTCCGCCACTGGAGCATGTAAATTTTAGGAAAAGCCCTCAGATTTTGGACAATGTTTACATAAATGCATGTGCCCAATTTCAAATTATTTCACTTACTAGTTTTTAAATTATTTAAAAAAAATTAAAAATATTTTTTGAAGTTTAGCACCCTGTATCTTTTTAACGAAGCGTCCTAGATAGAAACTTTATAAGAAAGACTCCCCTTAAAATTCACCAAAGAATATGAGGTTTCATTTTGGGTCACAATTTGTGAATCACCCTGTATATCCTATTATTTTTTTCTTGAAAATATAAGTATTCAATTTTAACATTCATCAAGCGCATTGCTGTAAAATGTTCGTTGCCTCCTCTAGATTTTTTTAAAATAAAAAAGTTATCTCGGCTCCAGAAGGCCGTAAAAAACATTTTTTTTTATTCGCGATTGTCAGTAATTTCTTTCTTTAAGTCATTTTCATAAAATAAAAATTGTAATTGTTAAGTATTTGAAAAAAGATACCCAAAGAAAATGCATTTTTTCAGTAATTTTTTTTTATCCTCAAAATTAATAAAATCGTAAAAATTATTTAATAGTATGGCAATACAACTTTTTCGAAGAAAATAAGCAGTTACTGTAGGGCCATCCCTAAATCCCCCCATCCCCCCAGAAGATCTAGTAAATTTTCGAGAGCGATTTTTTTTTTAAATCGATATATTGTTATCTCGAAAAATAATTAGTATTTTTAAATTTTTCAAAAATGTACTTTTTTGGCTTGCCGCGGGCTATATTTACAGTAAATAGCAAGTATGGGAACGTAAATGTAAACGAGTTATAGAAGAAGGCTAAAAAAAAAAGAGAAGATTTAACGATTTTTTCGATATATCTCTAAAAGTAACAAAGCAATCCATACCTATATAAAATCAATTGATAGATCTTTTTAAAACCTACAACTTTCTCATTTAGTATTTTTCGATCGGAGCTATATTTTTGTTCTTAAAAAAAAAAAACGTTTTCTGTAACTTTGTGAATTTTTTTGGCCATGTTCGCCATTTTGGAGTTTAAAAAGCAAGAAATTTAATTTAGAATTTAATTTCCTATACGGTCATATTTTTTATCCAGGTAATAATTTCTATTAATTTAACATTAGGCCGTCACAAAATACTTCATATTGGAACAGCTACAATGCACACATGAAGTCGGCTTTAGCTCCATCCATGGTATACTGTCAAATCTATGATATAAAACACGTAGGTAATATATCTACTTCATTTGTTTTTCTATATCCATAATTGTACTGTTGATACTAAAAAAAATATTTTTAGGTATACCTACCTAGATATGTCAATTTTACGTACAAAAGTATTAAAAGTGTCTCTCAGAATAAAGTTGTTTTTAATAGTATCTATTTGTTTTTGATAAATCAAATTTAAATCGTTTGATCTCGCTTTTAGTCTTTCTAAATTTGGAAAAACTATTTCAGCTTGTCGCGGAACGAGGTCCGCGATCGATTTGAGTTAAAATCTCGTGAATATTTAGTTTTGTTAAACCTCTATAAGTTTTGAGGTCGCTGATTGGCCAAAACCGGGTTTTAGGGCGGGGCCTATCGGTCCGGCTAGGGATAAAAGACGACCGCCGCGAAGAGGTCAGAGAGACGAATTTTGGTAGGAAAGTCTAAGTTTCGTCGTTCTTGGAGAGCATTTAAGAAAGAATTCTGGATTTCTCCTCAAAAGTCAGTTAAATGATAATAGTTGATAATAATCGTGACAGAATCGCGAAGTTAGTTAACGTTTTGGATACTTACGTGTATTCACCTTATGTGAATAGACCATGCGAGTGTATATTGAGTACGGAAGTTTCCGAGAGTTGTTCTAAGTGGGTAAAACAGGAAACTTTAACGTGAATGCGTGTATAAGCTGTAAAGTTAGAAATTGGAACTTTAATACCGAAAAAATCGCGGAACGCGACTTTATAAACTTACCTGGGCGTCTCATTGTTGGAGAACCGATAAAAGGTTACCGGTTCATTGTACTTACCGTAATATATGTGTCAGGCGAATTTGGATTTTTCTGATTCCTTCCTGGTACTGATGGTGCCTTCAGCGTAGCTTTGCAAGTGTGAACCTGAAAAAGAATTCTATATTAATAAGTAGTAGTTCTTATTAGATTTTCTTAAAGTATAAGTGGGATAAGCTATAAGAGCTATCTCACTAAGTAAACTATAGGGAGCATCCCAAAAATAATAAAGATTAGTAGATTTGTTTCTTAAACTAAAGTGAGTGTGGGCGACGGACTGGTTCCAGAGACGTTAAGCGGAGCTGACAATAGAACACGGGTAAGTGACACGATTCGGTACTGTAAGCTGATAGATAGATCGGCTAGAGACAATTAAGGAACTGTATAAACGTTCGTAGAGTTATAGACCTAAATTTTGTGTGATATCGCGATTAAGTGAATTTGAACTAGAGAAAGACTTTTAGATAATTAACGTAAATAAGCCAGTTTTTTTTTTTCGGGTATTCTACCGCTTACTTTTGCTATTAGTGATTTGAGTAACGTAAAAACACTAGGTTAGAGTATAGTAAATTTAATCATAACTTGTCCAAGTTAAGACCTTGAAATCTATTGAGATACTTTGTTGCATGCATAAGTGATAAGAATGACCTCAAGAACACGACTCGGAGCATGCGCTCTGCGTCCCGCGGATGTTTTGGAGGAAGACCGCCTACAAGACTCACTAACGTCTACTGAGTCACTGGAGGGAGTGTTTACAGATATGGGAAATCAGGATAATGACCCCGAACAACAAGTAGGTCAAAATGCCGGTCGGATCCGCCCCCATATCGATCTACTAGTAAACGAAAGGCATGAATTACCGGCAGCTAACCCGGACGAAGGCTCCGGAGGGTCCCTCGATGCTCAACGAGCAAGCGAGCGAGAACAAGCTTTAACCTGTAAATTATTCAGGGATTGTATTCTACAGAATCTCTGACTTTTAATGTTCGAGTGTAGTGCACATTATCGAAGTATTTCAGAAACACTGTATATATGAATAAAATGATTAAATTTCGTTGAAAACATTATTGGACTTACGTAATTCCCTCAAATAGATAAGTAGTAAAAAGTTGTTTCAACACTGCTTCAACATCCTTACAATCCAGTGTAATGAAGGTGATAACAAAATGTTTATAAATATACAATAGATGATATTTATTTTAAACTTTGAACTACGCGATTATCACACCACACCGTTCGATTTTACACGAAATAATTGCATTATTTTCACTTTACACGCAATTATCACTAGATATACACGAAAGATGCAAGCCGCGTTTGAATTTCTATTGTTTTCACTTTTAAAATTGAAAACAAAGCGGACTATGGAACAGTGCTACCACCATCAAAATAAAAAAATACTTGAAAACGTGTTTACCAATGAAATAACCATGGAGACTAGATAGTATAGTATAGTCTCCATGGAAATAACATTAAAATTTCCACTGGACTTCCTTTAATAAGATTCTAGCTAATAATTCTATATTTAATCGTTTGAATATAATTTAATTTACAGTTTATTGCTCAAAATATTTAAATATCTAGGAAAATTTTAGTATATTTACAATTGCAGTTTGACACTTCTCACTTTCTTCAAGCTAACTTCACTTTGATATTTTCCCGCTAAAATTTATTGTTTTCATGTGTTTCTGTTCATTTAATTTTAATATTTAGTACATACGTAGACTAGAAGAATTTTATCAAAGTTATTTGACTGTGTTATTTAGTGTATTAGTAATGGATGTAGCGGACATAATCGCTGGCCAAAGGCAACATCGTGACGAGGTCGGGGTCCGATGCCAAAAACTTTTCCAAGACTTTCTTGATGAGTAAGTATTATCGTTTAGTGATTGTTCGTCAACTTGCGCTTGTTTCAACAAAACTTGTTTCTAGATTTAAAGAAGACGGTGAACTAAAATACCTGGAACCAGCACAAGAACTGCAAAACGAGGAGAGAAGTATAATCGAAATAAGCTTTGAAGACGTAGAAAAATACAACCAAAATCTAGCTACCACAATTATAGAAGAATACTACAGAATCTACCCTTACCTGTGCCAAGCTGTATCCAACTACGTGAAAGATAGGGCAGGTCTGAAGAAAGAAAAAGAGTGCTACGTTAGCTTCACAGAGGTACCTACGAGGCACGTAGTTCGGGAGTTGAAAACTGATAAAATTGGAACTCTAGTGAGGATATCCGGACAGGTTATTCGTACTCACCCTGTGCACCCCGAGTTGGTGTCTGGAACGTTTACTTGTTTAGATTGTCAAACCCCTATAAAGAATGTCGAGCAACAATTTAAGGTACAAAGGAGTATTTTCAGTTAGTAAGGCTCTAAGGATCGTTTGTTTTTAGTATACTAATCCGACCATATGCAGAAATCCAGTTTGTAATAACAGACGAAGGTTCTTGTTAAACATCGACAAGTCACAGTTTGTTGATTTCCAGAAAGTTCGTATACAAGAAACGCAAGCCGAATTACCAAGGGGGTGCGTGCCTAGGAGTGTGGAAGTTATCCTGAGGGCCGAGAATGTAGAAACTGTACAGGTAAGTCATGTTTTTTATCAGCGGTCGGTACGCCCTTGCTAATTTAAATCACCTACAGGCCGGAGATCGTTACGATTTCACTGGTACCCTTATAGTAGTGCCCGACGTGTCAGCGCTAGCCTTACCAGGCGGCAAAACTCAAATAGCCTCCCGTCACCAACACCCCGACGAAGCGGAAGGCGTCAGAGGCCTGAAAGCGCTAGGCGTGCGGGACTTACACTACCGCATGGCGTTCCTCGCGTGCAGCGTCCAACCCACCAACCCCAAATTCGGCGGCATAGAGATGCCTCTGGGCGAAATCACCCCCGAGATTATGAAGCAGCAAATGACGGACGGGGAGTGGAAGCACATGTACGAGATGTCGCACGACAGGAATCTCTATCAGAACATGATAAATAGCTTGTTCCCGAGCATCCACGGTAACGACGAAGTGAAAAAGGGTATTCTCCTGATGCTGTTCGGTGGGGTGTCGAAGACTACAGTGGAGGGTACGTCGCTGAGAGGGGATATTAATTGCTGCATCGTTGGGGATCCAAGTACGGCGAAAAGTCAGTTTTTGAAGCAGGTGTCCGAGTTTTCGCCAAGGGCAGTGTACACCTCAGGTAATGTCAAATTTTTTTTTTAATTGATTTATTCCTTATTTTTTATTGAAATTTCAGTATTCAGCAGGGAAATTCATTTTTCTTTCTTTTAATTTTACAGGGAAAGCGTCATCGGCTGCCGGCTTAACCGCCGCCGTAGTGAAGGACGAGGAGACTTCCGACTCCGTCATCGAAGCAGGTGCCCTCATGCTAGCCGACAACGGAGTCTGCTGCATCGACGAGTTCGACAAAATGGACCTCCGTGACCAAGTCGCCATCCATGAAGCCATGGAACAGCAAACGATATCCATCGCCAAGGCAGGAGTCCGAGCAACGCTAAATGCTAGAACCTCCATCCTCGCTGCTGCCAACCCGATAGGTGGTCGCTACGACCGCGCGAAATCCTTACAACAAAACATCCAACTCTCGGCGCCGCTCATGTCGAGGTTCGACCTCTTCTTCATACTCATAGACGAGTGCAACGAGGTCATCGACTACGCCATCGCTAGGAAAATCGTGGATCTGCATTGCAACATAGAGGAGAGCGTCGAAAAGGTTTACACGAAGCAGGAAGTGCTCCAGTATATAAGCTTCGCGAAGAAGTTCAAGCCGATAATCAACAGGGAAGCTGGCGATCTCCTTGTATGCTACTACAGCAGGCTGCGGTTGCGTGACAGTACTTCGGCGGGGAAATCCACGTGGCGCATCACCGTTAGGCAACTGGAGAGCATGATTCGCCTGTCGGAAGCCATGGCGCGCATGGATATTTCAGACGAGGTGCAACCCAAGCACGTGCGGGAGGCGTATAGATTGCTGAACAAGTCCATCATTAGAGTCGAACAACCCGACATTCAACTCGGTGACGAGCAAGACGCGGACCACAGCATTCAGGAGGAGCAACCTGTGAACGACATAACGCCAGAGCCATCGCAGACGGCTCAGAAGAAGAAGATGGTTGTAAGTTTCGAGGAGTACAAGACTATCAGTAACATGATCGTGGTGCACATGAGAAGGGAAGAAGCAAAAAAAGGTTGGTAGTACCATTTTTTGTCCAACAGTTTTCCATCAACTGTAATAATTTACTTTTGCTTCAGTAATCTTTGATTTAGTGTTACTTTTTAAGAATCACATTATTTTTACGTCCACAAATACTTCACTAAGTCAGTTACTTCACTTTTACTTCACGACTACTGATTCATCCTATCCAATTATAAAAGACGTGAAGTAAAATAGTCCATGAAGTATTTGCAAACATTTTCTTACACTAAAACTTTGACACGTACCTAAATGATAAATTTTTGCAACTGGAAAATTTAATTGTTGATAAATTTCAAATATACCACGCAACAAAATGTTTCATTGTATCTGTACTTTAAGAAAAAATCTATGCGAAATGAATGCGAATCGATACTGCATCTCCAAGTACTATTTTTTGTCCAACAGCATCTTATCAACCTTAATAATGTACTTTTGCTTCATTAATTTTTTATTTAGAATGTGACTTTTTAGACATTATTTTTATGTCTGCAAATACTTCACTAAGTCAGTTACTTCACTTTTACTTCACGACCATTGATTCATCCTATCCAGTTATAGTTTTCATTTTGTAGGTATGGTAATTATCTGTACTTTAAGAAATAATCTGTGCAAAATGGAAGCGAATCGATACTGCATCTCCATGTACCATTTTTTGTCCAACAGCATCTTACATTTTTCCATCAACCTTAATAATGTACTTCTGCTTCAGTGATCTTTGATTTAGAATGTTACTTTTTCGATATCACATTATTTTTGTCTGCAAATACTTCACCAAGTCAGTTACTTCACTTTTACTTCAGGACCACTGATTCATCCTATCCAGTTATAGCGGACGTGAAGTAATGTAGTCCTTGAAGTATTGTGAACATTTTCGTACAGTAAAACTTTGACACGTACCTTGAAAAGGGCACGCCTAAATGATAAATTGCAACTTGAAAACTTAATGGTCGATGAATTTCAAATACACTGAGCAACAAAATTCTTCAACGAAATTTTGCCATTTTTCTTTTCCGTCAATTTTCATTGTATCAAGACGATTTTTTTTGCAATTTGTAGGTAATTATCTGTACTTTAAGAAAAAATCTATGCGAAATGGATGTGAATCAATACCGCATCTCCATGTCTTAATAAATAAAGCCCAAGCATTTTTTTTTCTTAAAAATCACCTGACGTGTTAGCGATCCAGCTCCAATTTTTTTTCGAAAATAATACATAGACTATTATAAAGTGCATTTTCTATCAAGCAATTTGAAAAAAAAATCAACTACAATTTTTTTTTGATTGAGTTATGCAATTTTGAAATTATACGTACATTTTTAACGAGTACCGCTTGCCTGGTGGAGTCGCTCGCAGGTATCAGTATCTAGTCCCTAGTGCCAATCTGCCGTGGCCGTTTTCTTGACTCTTGCGACTGTTAGACTGGTCAGGCTGGCGCTTTCAATGTGATACTTAAAATGAGTCACATGCAGACATATACCCCAATATATATTTTTCAGAAATTAAATACAAAATTAAAAAAAAATCATCTTGATACGATGAAAACTGACGGAGCTGTGTGCATTAGAAAAATGGCAAAATTTCGATGAAAAATTCTGTTGCGAAGTGTAGTTTTTTTCTAAAGTTAAAAAAATTGGTGAAATATAAAACTCCATGTATTTACAGGAGACAAAGGCATGCACAGGAGCGAAGTCGTAGAATGGTACCTAAACCACATAGCAGATCAGATCGAAACGGAGGAGGAGTTAATCGAGAGAAAAGATTTGTTCGAAAAAGTCCTAGATCGTCTGATATACCACGTAAGTCGAGTTTTCTTTGATTTAGTTTTATTTATTTTGTGTGATTTTAGGATCAAATTATTATCCCGTTGACTATGATAGGATTAAAGGGTTCAGATCAGGAGGAGGAGGGGGACGACCCCGAGCTGGTCGTCCACCCGAATTACATAATCGAGTAACTCTTTACCTGACGCTTTCGTTAGTTGTAATTTACTTTATATTTGTAGTTTTCCTGTTTTTAAATAAATATATAATAAAAATTATATCAAGAAGTATAAAAAAAAGAACCTTTGACCCCACTTACCTTGTCACTGTCCTCGACGCGATCCTATTTTTCAGTCCCGCTTCTGATTCAGTTAAAGGAAAAGGGAATTTTCCTGGGTTGAGACAAATGTTTATTTTTTAATCCCGCTTCTGATTCCGCTAAAGGAAAAGGGAATTTTCCCGTGTTGAGACAAATGTTTATTTTTTAATCCTGCTTCTGATTCCGGTAAAGGAAAAGGGAATTTTCCTGGGTAGAGACAAATGTTTATTTATTAATTCCGCTCCTGATTCTGCTAAAGGTAAAGGAAATTCTTCTGGGTCGAGACAAATGTTTAACAAACGTCCGATAGTTTTTTTATTAAACGAATAACAGTATAAAGGCAACAGCGTAAATAAACTTATTTATTCCTCATAGAAAAAGGAACCCATGCACGTCATTGACGCATTGTTCGGGAGTACGTACATGTTCTCGAAGTGGTCTAAAAACGTGGCGTTCCCTAAAAAACGATCAAATCAATCGTGCGTAAATTAGTTTTAAGTTCAAAACTTACGTTCTTTAATATGTTCCCAATCCGAGAATAACCCTTGGTCATTGTGCTCGTATATAAACAGTTCCACGCAGCCTAGTTCTTGTAGCGCCTAAAAAAAAAAGGTAGAAATAAACGTGACGGTAAACGTTTTAAAAAAGACGTGCTCACTTCCAACAGGAAATAAATATCGACGGGTTTTACGTAACAAAACTTCTCGCACAGCTTCATAAACATAATTTTCGGGCAGTTCAGACAATGCGACAAGACGTTGCAAAGCCATATTTTAAAGGTTTCTTCGTTCAACGTCCCGTCGACTTTAATCCAAGGCATCACGGATATGCTGATCAAAGTTTTCTCTCTAAAAAACGTTCCAAGGAATTAGCCGTATGCGACCAACAAAATCGGTAGAGCACTCACTGCAACTGCTTGTCTATTTTCTCCTTGACGTTTGCGTGGGACGAGGCTTTTTCCTCTAAAAATTTCTGTTCGTCGTTGGACAAGGTGAACGTCTCGACGAGCCACGGTGACTGGTGCAAGTGATGCACGAATGTCAATGAACACACCCCGGTGCGGAGTAATATCCTTGAGTCCACCAGTGCCTGTAGGATTGTCTCCAGCGAACAGTTCCGCTCCAAATATCCGAATTCCTCCTAAAAATTGCCACGGAAGGTAACGAAAATTGTTTAAGAGGGCTCTATAGCAAATAGCCAACCGGCAATACATTTTTATAGATTTTCTTACACAGTTTGTTTAAATATGAATCAATACACAAATAACAGACTTTCCCCATTCTAACGCAGGTTTTCTGTAAAATGGAGTTAGTTTGAAACTCAAATTACTTTTTGTTGTAAAGAAATTTGTAATTTACGATTCAAACTAACTCTGTTTTATAGAAAATCTACCCTTAGAACGGAGCAAAGTCTGTTATTTGTGTGTTGATTCATATTTAGACAAACTCTATAAAAACGTATTGCTGGCTGGCTATTTGCTATAGAGCCCTCTTAAGGAATTAAAATGGTACCTTAAGTTCTGGTCCTGCGACTCCCAAAGATTTTCTCTCGAATATGAAATCAACGATCCGGTTGGCTAAATAAAAATCTGCCTGCCTGCCGTTGTTTTCTTCTAACAATCGGTACACCGCAGACATACCGCTCGGCTTTTTGATCACCAATTTACTGTAAAATGAGAAGAGACACCTACGATTGAGAAACTGGCAGAGAGCGACCTACTTATTCACAGGCACTATAGTGAAAAAAATTTTAACTAATGGCGATACAACTACTCGGTGTACTAACATAGACTCCTATGCTGATCTGGGCATTAATTCGCAGTGTAGTTGTTTCCCGCAACACCGAAAACTGTTTTTAAGACAGGAACTCACCTCTTTATCCGCTCCCACAACCGCTTGTTCTTCAAACCGGATTGTATGTACTCCACCATGTAAAACTCCGGTAATTCCTCTGCTTCCCCCAATACGACGTCTTCCAGAACCGCGTACTGAGTGATGAAGTGGTTCTTCAAACGTTCTATCTTCTCCTCGTCCGTGTTCAAGTCCGTATAGTCTCTGGTCAGCAGAAAACAGAGGTCCGTTATGTACGGGATTAATATCCTCTCCTCGCTCGGTGGGGTGTATCTCAGCATGCCTGGAAACAAACATTTCGTCAAGATTTTTACGTGGAGTTCCTCGGGGATCCACGCTGGGGCCCGTTGAAGGTACGATTTATGGATTTTATATGAATAAAAAAGTAAAAGTTGTATTGTGGTATGTGACTAAGCATCAGTTTAGTTATTAATAACCATTTTACCGCGCTAGAAACTTTCAAAAACAAACGACAACTACAACATTGACAAATACCTTCTTTTATTTCCTCCAAGGTGGGAATCTGTTCTTTGGTAAGAATCTTCTTCACGTTGTACATATTTATCTTGTCCACCTCGTCGTAGCTTTCGTGGTGATCCGTTTGAACTTCCGTGTTTGTTGGGCCGGATTCCGCCTCGTCTGCCGTAACGAATTGCATAAACTCGGGACTTGGGCTTCGCCTTTCCTGTTCGGTTTCCATGCAGTCCGTCAACCAAGTTTTCAGGCGATCGATCGTTTCCGAGTTGCCGTCATCGACCGTCAAATCTAACGGGTTGTTCTGGTTGTCATTTAAAGTGATGGTGTGTCTTTGGTCCGATATCGTTTCTTCTTCTTTTGACGTGGAAGGTCCGTCGTAGTCGTGCGATTTCGATCTGAACATAAAAACAAATCATTACCTTGTTTGCTTCTATTTTGAGGTTACGAGCGATACGTTACCTGTTTTCGCCATCGTTGTCCTGTTCTAACTCCGTCTCGGTGTTGTCCTGAAACATTTTTTTCAGTTTTGCTAGCCAACGCGCCGCCAGTTCATCCACCAGCTCGCCGTGGTCTTTAACGTGCGGGTTCAATATAACCATGGTCCGAGGCAGGTAGAAGTTAAACCGTACCTTGTCCCAGAAGGAACAAAACTCGTTCAGTCCCAAAAGTTGCCCGTACTTCTTCGATTCTATCGTTTCTTGTGAAAAGTCGAGCAATTTCTTATTTTCCTTCAAATTCAAGAAGGTCTTGTAGGCCTCGATCGCGGTGGTGTTGCTGAAAGTACTAGATTGCGAAATTACGTATAAATTGGATAGCTGGAAGGGGGTGTGCCAACGGTTTTTCGCCTTTTTCGTCACGAATTTATTGAAAGATATCGCCTGGGTGCGTTTTAGCTCCGCCAAGGCTTCGCAGATTAGGTTGTCGGAGTATTTCTGATAGATTTTGAATAACTGGAAGGTCCAACCTACAACAGAAACAATATAATTATAAAACTGGTCAGACTAGTGTAGCCCTAAATATTACACAAAAATTTAACAATGAAGACACATAAACACACCGTATCGGCACTAAATACTGAATCAACTATACAAATTCTATTTTGATTCCAGTAAAAACAGTAGTTCACGCAAAAAGTCATTAAATTAACTATCGTTTCGAACTCGTGAACCGATAAATTAAAACAGATGTTATCAAATGAAGCTGTGATATATTCGGTCATTTTTGTTTCATGGAATTAACATGAATCGTTTGTTTTTTGCCCGTTTAGCACCCTGTTGTCATATCTCATCAGGTGGATTATGCAGTTCACCTAAACTAAGTCAATGTCGACAGGTCATTGACAGTGAGATTCACAAACCAAACACTGTGCTTTAAAAAAATAGTAATAAATACTTTTTATTAAAAATGTGAAATTATTTTTAAAAATACTTCGAATCTATCAGGTTTTTATTTATTGTTTGATACAAACTGTTCAAAAAACGGCAAAAATAAATAAATATATATATATATTAATTGCACTGGTGACATTAAAATAACACGTCACAAAGTCACACAAAAGCAATATACTTTATTTTTTATTGCCATTTCGCTCTACTTCGTTAATTTCGCACAGTTCACACATACAACCGAGTCTGGAGCTGCCCAGTAACGGCGTAGACAAGAGTTTAATCGCCATTTAAAAAACGAATTTTAATTCGAGTAATCATTTGATTAAAAAAAATAATAATTTCACATCAGTATTCTGGGTTACACCTAATTAGAGCAATCAAATTACTCCTGGAGAAAAAAAAATTGTTACCTAGATTTTTATAAGTGGAAATGGTAAAGGGGCTTATAATAAACATAAAAAAATAAATGCGTGAGTAGGGGTGGCGGAGGATTGATTTGAGGGGTTGAAAAGTTGTGAAAAATTGTATCATTGGGATTTCTGGCGAAAGTTGACGTCAAACAAAAAAGTATCTAATACAAAAGTTGTAGATCATGCAAAAACCTACAACTTTTGTAGAGGTCACTTTTTAAGACGACCTTAAAATTTCCGAGAAAAATGCGAAAAACAATCGAGTTTTTTCTTATTTTTAGTTTTTTATTTCTCTGCAAAAATAATTTAATTTTGATGAAACTTGAAAGTATACCTTTCTGTGTCTTAAATAACCACAATTTTTTTTAGATAAAAAAATATAGAAGTTTCCGAGATATTCATTGTTTCCGGTCTGAATCACTTTTTTTTCAAGAAAATTCTACTTAGAAAAATCATCGTACAGAGTTCTGCCGATGATAATTTTTTTTCTGTTTTGACATACTTTTTGGTGAAATAAAAAAATCTGTAATCACAGTTCAAAACCATGCTCAAAAATGCAAAAAAAATAAAAATGACATCCAACAATGAATTTTTCAGTAACTGTTGATAATTTGTTCAAATTTAAAAAAAAACAAAAACTGATTACACCATTCAATTGTACGGAAAAACATACAAAAAAAACGGAGTCTCATTATTGACCCAAATCTTTATTTTTGTACAGTATTGCTATAAACATCTAAGTCGAATAGTGAATAAATAAAATAAATAATAATTTTTTTTCCATAGGATCAATTAGTGTCTAGGAAACGGTAAGAGATACGGAGTGGCTCAAAATAGAAAAAAGTTGTTTTTTTATACCTAACAATATGCCGTTTAGAAAGTTTTAAAATTCCGGATAGTTCCAGAAATATCCGGAATACCCAAAATTTTGCAAAAGTTTTTTTATGGCTTTATTTGAAATAAAATTTTAAAAGAAATTGCATATTTACAATTCCACTTTTTTCGCACTATCCAGTGGCGTCAACATTTTTACAATCCGACATTTCATCTTCGAGGGGCCATCATCAGGTAAATTTTTTTAAATATGTCGGTGCTATTTTTATGACAAAGTCTAGTAATTTTTAATTCTGAATTAGATGATATTACTATTGTAATTGCTTAAAAAGGTTTTTAACTATTTAAAATTTTTCCTGCGTAGGATTGCAAAAAAAATTATTTATGTTATTTATTCATTATTCAACTTAAGATGTTTATAGCAATACTGTACAAATATAAAGTTTTGGGTTGAAACACAGGTTTTTTGTATTTTTTCCGTACAATTGAATGGTGAAATCAATTTTTTTTAAATATAAACAAATTATCAAACGAGTACTGAAAAATTCATTGTTGCAAGTATTTTTTTTTGCATTTTTGAGCATGTTTTTGAACTGTGATTACAGATTTTTTTATTTCACCAAAAAGTATATGTCAAAACGAAAAAAATTATCATTGGCAGAACTCTGTACGATGATTTTTCTAAGTAGAATTTTTCTTTGAAAAAAAAAAGTGTCAGACCGGAAAAAATGAATATCTCGGAAACTTCTCGATTTCTTTATCTAAAAAAATTTGTGGTTATTTAAGACACAAAAAGTTATACTTTCACCAAGTTTCATCAAAATTAAATTATTTTCGTGGAAATGAAAAATAAAAAACGATAAATCAGAAAAAATCCTGTTTTTTGCATTTTTCTCGGAAATTTCAAGGTTGTCTTAAAAAGTGACCTCTACAAAAGTTGTAGATTTTTGCAGGATCTACAACTTTTGTATCGAATACTTTTTTGTTTCACGTCAACTTTCGCCAGAAATCCCAATTATATAATTTTTCACAACTTTTCAACCCCTCAAATCAACCCTCGGCCACCTCTGTTCATGCACTTATTTCTTTTTCGCTTATTATAAGCCCCTTTACCATTTCCAGGTAACAATTTTCTTTTTTTTTCCCTCCAAATGAGTTATTTTGAGCGTTCTATAAAGGTTTTTTACCTGGTCTGTTCGTACATCCCAGAGAACTGTGAATAACGGATTTCAAAACGTCCCGTTTGATGTCGTCTTCATTTTCGACGTCTTTATATTTCAGAAGGCCTTCTTCTAGGGGCACCACATTCTTCTTCGTGCTATCTAGACGATCCCCAGTTAAATAGTCGATGTTCATCAAGTTACCTAAAAAAAAAAGACACGGATTAAAAAAAAAACAAGTGTGATCTTGCCGTTTTCGGATCTTTACCTACCTTGAAGAATATTCTCGATGTCTTGTTGGTGTTTCACCAGGTAAGACATCAGTATGATGTAAGCCGTCGATAACTGAGCTTCGGTGTACTTGACGGACTTGTGACTGCTCTTCTCGTTCGTTAAATTATTCACCAACGTCGTGAAGTACTCGGAAATCGGTTTCAACTCCAGTAGGTTCAACACGTTGTCCTCTAGGTACCGGTGCCTTGGGGCGAGGTGGATCTTCATCCGACGCTGGACCGCCCTAGAATTTCAACATAAGAACGACAAATCTTTTGATCCTACCCCCTTACTTTGAAGTTTTGTTCCTGCTATCCGGGTTTAGCCTGTGTAAAACGTCCCGTACGACACTATACGGCACGGACTGTTTCCTAGGGAACCTCGGGTTCAGAAATATGCAAGCCGCCAGGCTCAACAGCAACACCCTGTCTTCTTTGTGGTTCCACTTGACCCTCACGTTGACCCCGATCCTTTTGAGGATGACTTTGTCGAGGGGATCGGTGTACTGCCTCTTGGCGAACTTCGCTCTGAACGGGATCCGCCTGGTGATTTTCTGGACGGTTTTGGACGGTTTCAACGGGACGTGAACGTACTTCCTCAGCTTCGGCTTCGTCTCCTTACCCTCCTTGGTTTTGTGGAGGTAGATTTTGTTGGTCTGCCCGATCGTGTTTAGCTCGTTATACGATAAGTTCTTCGGAAGGACCTGCGACGAATAAAAGATTAGAGTTAAAAAAAATATGTTTCGGGTGTCGCTACCATTTCTAGTTTTTCTTTCCGCAGGCCTGGGCTGAGCGCAGGTTTGTTTCCCGCGTTTTTCTGGTTCGGTGCCCAGAACCAGTTCTTCATTATGTGCGACCATAGGGATGAGTCGAATCCCGAGGCGCCTCTCTTGTCGCCCGGTATCTCGCCGTTGTCATCCCTGCGTATTGACAATTTTTTTAGCATGAAATCGTTAAAAAACCGTTACGTTAAGACTTACTTTAAGGCTTCTTCGGGCGTCTTTGATTTCAGGGCCTTGATCAGTTCGGGTCTGGACTGGGGATCAAAAATCGTCACCAGCTGACCGCCTTGCTTTGAGTTCAGTTTCGTACTTAAACCTGAAAAATTAAAAAACATATCGCAACGTATTTCGGTGCTATAAATGTTAATAATATTAAGTATCTTTATTTTATAATAAGCGAAAACACAAATTTAATTTAAGGGGGGCGTTTTTATGCGCAATTTTCAATGAATTTTTTGTCCAATTGTTTAAAAAATCTAAGCAAGTTAGAAACGTTATCTCTTCACTGTACTACTCATACAAGTGTTCTTCAGGGTGTGAGGTAACTGACAACACATTTTAAGTAAGAAAAAAAAAACATATTTTTTTATCTTACGTTTCCTGAACTTTCCACGATTGTTGAACATACAGATAAAAGCGTACGGTATTATAAACATACCCACACCCAGCAGAATGCTTTTAGGATACTATTTATACATGAATTAATAAGAATTATTGAGTAGTTTTATAAATCAATTGGACAAAACAGGAAAGGTACGTGTTCTGATATTTTATATTATCCGTCATCTTTTCATGCCGAGCAATTGAAGAAATCCTTCGTATTTCAACTTTTCTATAGTTTAGACACTATCGAAAAGAGGGCGATAGTCACAGTTGTCGTTCTAAGGTATTTTTTGCTGAACCAGAGCCGGACTAACTTCAATATGTTTGAGTTGTATTTGCGCTGATTTTAGATAATATAAAAGAATGTGATGGCAGTGCTTGTTTGAATGGGAATATTAAGCTTTGCATGTAAAATAATCATAATAATAAAACTGTTATTCCGAGTTCTTACAAATACTGTTAAATACTAGTAAGTTAAAAAATTTTAATTCTGACAATTAATAATTAGTCTAATAGTAAAAGAGCTATAAACACAAATAAATTATAGTACTTAATACACATATTTTGATAATAGTCCAGATAATATAATCGATAATATAATTACTAGAGAAGAAAGAATTAGGCAAATGCCATTCGGTATCAGTCAGACTGTCTAAACTAAAATGGAGCGTGATAAGATAATTAAAATTTACTACACAGTGGCAGTTTTTTTTAGAAGCGGGGGAGTCAGTGTCTCCCTAAGATTTCTTTAAGATATTTTTCACAAATTGATTATTGTATGTTTTACTAGTTATTAGATCCAGTATAATTTTAGAAACCATAATTCTGAATACAGAATTTTGTATGTAATAATTACTGTTGTTTGTTGAAGAGTGACTTCAAGTTATTATTACATTTTTCTTGAGAAGCAAGCCAAATGAGTTCCCCTAAAAATATTTTTTACAATTTAATTTTTCTGTTCGTGTTTTATTAGTTTTTAAACGAATTGTTTATAATTAGCCTCTGTTTAAAAAGTGATTGATTTATGTAGATACTTTACAATTTACAACACATTTTAAAGCAAATGATTCGTTCTCGCATCGTCACGATGAAATAGGTACGGTCACATATTACTAACAATATGTGGTACGGTGGAATACGGAAAGTGCAGGTGTATAGTACAATTCGCCGGCATGCCTCTGATAAAGTGTTTTTAGATGTGTTTAAATAAAGGGCATGTTTTTATGACAGAATAGGTACCTACTTATTATTAATGTAGGTCAAGGAGGAACTGGAGGCAAATACGCTGTGAACAAATGAAATGATGACTTACTAATTAACAATATTTTGTAAATTTGATTATACCAGTTAGATTTTTTTTACAGTTATTTTTGGTTTTACTATAACTGCTTAATTATATGCCTAATTAATAACGATTGTATAGCATCAGTATTTCGTACTTTTTTGGCGGCAGATTAACAAGCGTGCGTTGTATACTAATTTGCTTAACATTATATTTAACATTTTTGATAAAATATTAAATCAAATGTAGTTTTCTTATATACAGGGTGTCTCAAAATTAGTGTCCAATAATTTACCACTTGATTATATTGCGAAAAATAAGAATATTTTTTCAAATAAACATGTGTAGAGAGATGTTTCCTAAGGGAGCTACACCCCCTAAATAGGGCCTCAAAAAAAAATTTTTTTTTAATATTTTCGAAATGGGTTGAAGGAAAGTTATGAATGTTGATACCATGAATGCTCTTAAAAGTCGAAATAGATTATCATAAAATTTTTCAAAAATTTTAATCATCTCAATTGGGGGGGGGTCGTCGGCTAAAATTTGCCACTATTCTTTTGTTTGCCCAAATTTTCAAATTCAGATCAAAACAACATCACCATTTTTTCATAGAAAACTCAGATCAATCAAATTTTATAGCAACAAATGCATGCAAAAATTTGAACCGATTCTCCCCCTCCTCTTGCTCGGGACGGCCCATAACAAAGTTTTCAAAGCACTTTTCACGTTGTTTATTACAATGTATATTGATATGATGACATATGAAAATTCATAATGGTACATGTGCCCATTTTAGCCACTCAAAACAAATTTTTTGAATTTTATTAAGGTAACGTAATAAATTGCTTAAATTCGTTTTTCTTGGAAATGGAGCATTTTATCCAAAGAACTAAAGAGTACCTCTTTTATAAAGGATATGAATATCTATCATATGTTGGCATGAAAACTTGAACTTGAAAATTTCGACAAGTAAAAAAATAGAGGCAAATTTTAGCCGACGATTAAAATTTTATGATGATCTTTTAATGAGCGTCAATTATGTCAAAATTTATAATTTTCCTTGAACCCGTTTCGAAAATATTTAAAAAAATTAATTTTTTGAGGCCCCCATTTAGGGAGCGTAGATCCCTTAGGAAGCATCTCTCGACCCATGTTTATTTGAAAACATACTCTTATTTTTGGCTATATAGGTAATCAAGTGATAAATTATTGGACACTAATTATGAGATACTCTGTATATAAGGAAGCTCTACATTTGATTTAATATTTTATCAAAAATGTAAATTAAAATGTTAAGCAATACAACGCATGCTCGTTAATCTTCCGCCACGTTTTTTTTGAATACCACGAAAATAAAAAACTTTATTAGGCCGACATGCAGGTTTGCTAAAATAAACAATGTTTAGAAAAAAATACACATGCTTACGCTGGAAGTATGGCTCTCGTAATAGTATAAGTAAAATTTTCATATTTTTTATTTCAAAGTGTATAATGGTTAGTTTTCTTATTACTGAATGTTAAGTTTCAATAAAATATATGTTTGCTTATATTTATTTTCTTACAAATCTATGTACAGAGCCACTAAACATGCGTGCAATGTAGGAATAATATATCATTCTCCGTCCCTTGTGCGTTTGCTAGCCTGAACCCATCTCGCTTGCTCTCACAGACCGCTACGATGTTCACGACGGAGACGGAGCCCTTTTATTGGCTGTAATTAAGAAACGCTCCGACTTTTTTGTCTGTAATTTCACTTTTGTGGTCAAATTGTATTCCTAAAGCCAAATTTCATAGTCTGCAGGTGGTACAAATCAAGGAGTTTTTGAAAAAAAAAACAAGTTTGAGTAGCCGCCTCCGGCCAAACGTAGCGATATTTGTTCACTTTAAACCTATTTCAACATTAATGTGCTTATCTTTTGGTACAAATGATGGGAAAAAATCACGCCAGCTCTTAGGCTACAAGTATTTAGTCCAAGCATTATAGAGAAATGCTTACAGAAATTATTACCTGGACAAAAAAAAATGACCGTATAGAAAATTAAATTTTAAATCGAGTTTCTTGTTCTTTAAACTCGATCCAAAATGGCGAACATGGTTAAAAAAATCGCAAAGTTGCAAAAATGGTTTTTCTAAAATAACTAAAAAAATATAGCACCGATCGAAAAATTTTAAAAGAGAAAGTTGTAGGTTTTAAAAAGACCTATCGACTGATTTTTTGTAAGTACCGATTGCTTTGTTACTTTTCGAGATATATCGAAAAAACCGTTAAAAATCTTCTCTTTTCTCTTCTTCTATAACTCGTTTACATTTAGGTTCCCTTACTTGCTATTTACTGCAAGCATAGCCCGCGGCAAGCCAAAAAATACATTTTTGAAAAATTTTAAAATAATAATAAGAGTAAAGAAGAATAATAAAAGTAAAAAAAAATGTAAGTAAAATAAAAAGTAAACATTTACGGGACTAGTTTGCTTCTAATGCGAAAATGACTGTAATATTCGTGTTTAGCTACCCCAGATTAAGTACAAAAGAATTTTTGTACGTGATCCAGAAGCCGAGATATCAAAAATTTTGAAAGCGCGAGACTTTAGACTGCACGTCATCAGTTTTCAGAGCGAGCGCGCGCCGCTTCCCCCTACTTCTCCGGCCGGTCCAGCTGACGCACTCAGCGCTTGCACGCTTCACTTTATTACTCAATTCTTAATTACTAATAGGTACTAAAAATCAAGTAAACATATCCTATTTTTTTTATTTTGAAAATATAAATATTGAATATTAACCTCCATCAAGCGCATCGCTGTAAAAAATGTTAATTGCGTCTTCAAATTTTTTTTTAAATAAAAAAATTATCTCGGCTCCAGAAGGTCGTAGAAAAACATTTTTTTTTTAAATTCGTGAAAAAATGTCAGCAGTTTCCTCCTTTAAAAATAATTTTCATAAAATAAAAATTGAAATAGTTATTTGAAAAAAACACCCAAAAAAGTGAAAATTTTTCATATTTTGATCCTTAAAATTAATAAAATCGTCAACATTCGTCAAAATCAGTCGATAGATCTGTTTAAAACCTACAACTTTCTCATTTAAAATTTTTCGATCGGTGCTATATTTTTTTACTTATTTTAGAAAAACCGTTTTTTGCAACTTTGCGATTTTTTTAACCATGTTCGCCATTTTGGATCGAGTTTAAAGAACAAGAAACTCGATTTAAAATTTAATTTTCTATACGGTCATATTTTTTTTGTCCAGGTAATAATTTCTGCTAATTTAACATTAATCCGTGACAGAATGCTTGGACTAATTTGCAACAAAAAAAAACTGGTCTGCCGGCCGGTAAACACGAACACGTGCTCTTTGTATTGGTACAATTTTGAAATAAATATGGAATGAGTAATGAACTACAATTAATAAATTATGAAAATATTTACCAGAGGATCTGATAAACTATTTTGTTTTTTTATTTCTATTTTTCTCCTATTTTATGTTTCTCAATAGGTTCAGGGTGTTTAATACTACATTAATTATAATTCATAACATATTTTATCTATATATTTTTAAGAAAAATAATGAAATTTTTCTGTACATTTTAATTGTCTGGAATACAGTTGCATTGTTATTTAAAATCATTAAAACTGTCTTTACCACAATGTTTCCATACTTCCAACATAATGATAATAATCACAAATATTTCACAAATATGTCTGTTAAATGAAATTAAAATATATAGAACATTAAGGGTATAAAATGAGCATCATTTTGCATTCGACATGCCCAGTAATAAAGAATCTGGGGAATTTGAAGTTTTTGTCAAAAAAGTTGTTTGGTATATCTAGTGTTTACGAAGATAGTTGAAACCGTATAAAAACTAAAAGTCGGCATCTCTTTCCGGGCACAATAAAGAGATGCCGACTTTTAGTTTTTATACGGTTTCAACTATCTTCGTAAACACTATAATAAATGTTTAAATTTTTGATAGTATCAAGTATAGTATTCCTCTGTTTCCACATCCAATATTTTATTAAAACACTGTAGGTCATTATATTATTTTTCTGTGCAAATATTAAAATTATCTGACAATTCTTGTTCATTGCACATATTTTCCCTAATGCGGCTCTGGACGATAATAGGCTTACCAATGTCCTGAGAATATATAGTTACCGATTAAAGAAATCTTTACGTCGATTGCTATGTGGTATTACGAAGTTGTTCTAGTTTGGCATTACGCTAGTAGAGACCGCCACTTCCTGGATGGATTTTCTACTATCTATCAGGTGCTATCGCTGTCTTACCAAAGGTGCGATTTCTTGTCTATAAAACGGCGCCCTTAATAAATCGTAAATCCACGGAGATTTTTGCCTTTTTGGCTTTCAAATATCACTAGAAATGAAAATTTTTCTATGCGCATAAAAAAAACGTGGGTTTAACTTTTAGCGGCACAATATGTTAAAAAAATTCGAAAAATGTCATGTTTTTGTTCCTATTTAATTATGTATCTTTTCAAGAGTTGATTTTAGGCAAAAATGGAAGAGGAAAAAATGTTTGTAATTAAATTTTTTACAGAATATGACTAGTTACAAATCGAATGAATCATGATTATTATTGCAAAAATCGAAAAAATTGCCAAAAATCGAGTTAAAAAACATTACTTTTTAGGGAATTTTTCTGGGGTCTTTAAATGGGGTATAGGACCTTCAATTTCATCAAAATCGGTTTGATAGATTTTGCAATCCAAATTTTGAAAAAAAATTTGCAAATTTTCAAAATGTTGCACAGCAAAAACCAAGGCTTAAACAAGCGCCAGAGCTCTCCTAATTGACGGATTCGAATGTTTCAAAAAGCATTTGAAAGCTTCAGAGCCCTTCTATATGTGATTAAATTTCCAAGTATCTAAGGGCCTTGGTTTTTGCTGTGCAAATTTTTGAATATTTGCAACAAATTTTTTTATATTTGGATTATGCAAAATTTATCGAAACGATTTTGATGAAATTTGGTGTGATGATAAGATGAAGTTTTCTTGAGCCAAGTATGAAGGCCCTATACCCAATTTAAAGACCCCAAAAAAATTCCCTAAAAAGTAATGTTTTTTAACCCCATTTTTGGCGATTTTTTCGATTTTTGCAATAATAATCATGATTCATTCGATTTGTAACTATGCAGTCACATTTTGTAAAAAATTTTATTACAAACATTTTTTTTCCTCTTCCTAAAAAGGAAGAAAAATTTGACATTTTTTGAATTTTTTTAACATATTGTGCTGCCGAAAGTCAAGCCCACGTTTTTTTTATGTGCATAGACAAATTTTCATTTTAGTACAGTCATTGAAGCTGAAAATCAGCTGTAACCTTCGAATTATTTGAAACTTTAGAATAAAGCTCATCTTAGGCTCAAGCCCGATTGACGCTTATTGTTTTTTAGGGGTAAAAACTACCCCTAAGTGAAAAAAATTGAAAAAATTAAGTTTTAAGCATTTTATTGATAAAAATCTTGTTCAAGCACAAAGATTAAATAATGTTCCATGTTGCCGAACATGTTTTATGATATATTTGATCTTTTCGACCCTTTCTTTAACCCTTAAAAACTATCCCTATGCAAAAAATAATGCTAAAAAATTACTTTTTAAAGATTTGGAATGATTAAATCATGCAATTATTTAAAGTAAAAGTTTCTGTATAGCTAATGAAAGAATTTTTCCCTTTCAACCCCTAAAAACCACCCCTGCATTGACAAAAATGATAAAAAATTACTTTTTAAAAGCTTGGAATGCTTTAACGGTGCATTTATTTGAAATAAAAATTCCCTCATTGCTTATAAAAGAATTTGTATCTCATAGCACTTTTCAACCCTTATAAATCACCCCTGTGCTAAAAAAATGATAAAAAATTACGTTTTAAATATTGGAATGCTATAATTGTGCAATAATTTAAAATAAAAATTCCCTTATATCTTTTATGAAAGAATATTTTACTTTTGTCATTTTCAACTCTTATAAACTACCCTTTTACCAATATTAATGTAAAATATTTTTATTATAATCGATTTTTAAATATAATCAATCATAAAAAATTTGCTGCGCGGCATATAAATAATCACACTAAATTTTTGTACTTATTTTAATTGTATAATATAAATAACAAATAAAAATGAGAAAGCCTATTTTGCTCCGAAAAAATGTCATTGGTTAATTTTGAAGCTATAGTATCCTACAAAAAAGCATTTTAAAGATAATTTCAAGAGCTGTAAGATCGTTTGCATATAAAACGTTTTAAGTCCTTCGTTTTTTAAAGGGAAAGGATCGAAGGGCTCGAGACAGGTCGTTTTTTCACTAAAATTGATACTTCAAGCGGCGATATCTCCTTTATTTTTTATGCTATAGGAATAAAAAAAAGCAAAATATTTGTTGAAAAAAAAGCTACATTTTTGTTGTCTATCATTTTTTACGTATTTTTCATAGTTTCAGAGTTATAAGGCAATTCTTTTGAATAATGAAAAATACGTTTTCAACTTTTACCGTACATTATTCAAAAAATACGCATTCTAGACCGGTTTAACTTCAGGATCGTATGAAAAACACTAAAACAAAACAAATTGTAAAGAGCCTATGATTAATTTTTTTAATTCTGATGGAAATGGTACAGCGTTTGCTGCTCATTTTTCCTTAAAAAAATATGAGCAACCCATCTGTTTTTGACGATAACTCCTTCAGTTTTGCTCTAATTAACTTTTATAAGTGCTCATTTTGGAGGTCTTTTTCAGTACTACAAAAAACTCCAGGAGCATTATACACGTAAAATTGATCCTTTTTCCGTTATTTAACGTTGAATACATCGATTCGAGTATTCCCCCAAAACAAGTCCCCTTCCACTAACCATATTTCGCTTTGTATAGGACGTACAACACTTTTTTTAATAAAATGCGTAGTTTTTGAGTTATTCGTGAAAAATACTTTGAAGGAGTGTTTTTTGCACTCAAAATTCCAATTTTTCAATCGTGAATAACTAAAAAACTATTGATTTCTCGAAAAAATTCTCCGAATATTTTTTGCTCAAAATTTGATTATCTACCGATTTCCAGCGTTATCTTTGAAAAAAAATTTCCACCCCTGAGAAGGGGTGTCAACCCCCAACAGAATGATAGCGTCAATCGGCGCTATGTCACTAATATTCATTGACCTTTTCTCTAACTATCTGCCAAATTCAAGTCGATCGGTCCAGCTTCAAAGAATTCGCAGCTGAAAAGCTTCAATGACTACTATTTCTAGTGATATTTGAAAGCCAAAAACCCAAAAATCTCCGCGGATATACGATTCACCCAAACCGAAACAGATACCGCCTAGTCTATAAAAAATCGTTTAAATCATCGCACTTACATATCCCGTACGCGTTGTACCAGTAACTATCAATATCGGCCTGGCTGTTGAAGTAGAATGCCAGCTTCCTGTACTCCTTGTTGGTGATCTTGTTGTAAGCGGGCTCGCTGGAAACGGTGTCGTACAGCGAAGCCATCCGGTTCAGGAATATGAACACCTGATCCTTCTCCTTGTACTTCTGCGGCCCGAACTGGACGAGTCCACACCAGGCGAGCCTGCACATCGAATCGTGTATGTTGAAGAGGTATTTACGTTTGGAGAGCACCGCCATGCGCACCCCTTCCGGCAAGTCCTTCACCAAATAAAACCTAGAAAGTGTGTCGTTACGTTCACGAATAACCGTCTTTACCGTACTCACCGTTTTATGGAGTGATTGAGGATCTCTAGGAGTTCGGGCACGTCGTACGCCACGTTGTGGATCTTACATAGCACCGAGATGGGCAACCTTAAGATTATGTCGCACATCAACGCCCACCCCGCCATCCAACCTCCGTGATGCGGTAAGGGGGGGATGAACATCTTCCAGTTGATGTCGCTGCAGTAGACGCTGGGGATCTGCCTCAGGTCTTCCTTCGTGACGTTTATCCGGTAGCTCTCGAACAAGTTCTCCACCTCCAGTTCCGTTAGCGGTTTGGTGTCCCTATCGTAGGCGTAAATGAGGTAGTGAAGGAACTCGTGGATTATACGCATCCTTATGAACTTGGGCTTGAAACCATACGTTTTACCCGCAAGACGGCTAGGCTTGTAGGTGGCCTCGGCCCGTTTCAGCCTGTTCAGCTCCTTCAGTTCCAAGACGCTGCTCATAACGTCCGACTGGTTGAATGGCGACACCGTCTTCTGTATCTTCGCCTCCAAGTTCTTCTGGATCGTCGGTACGTTGGTCTTTGTGGACTTTTTGTGGGCGCCGACGAAGTACTTCCACTTCAGCTGCTGGCACGCGGACATAATCAGGCTGTCGGTGTGGTTGATGGACGGGTGACATACAAAGGTCTGGACTTTGGTTAATTTGTCATCGGAAATCGTTAGCTTGTAAATTTTTAGGTACCCTTCATCTACTAGTCGCTTTAGGATCCTGGACAAGGATTTTCTGTCCATTTTCTTCGTGTACCCTGCAAAATAAATGAACGGACATAAAATTTGGCGCTCTAATTGTCGGCAAAGAAAAAATTGCGTTACCTTCTTTCAACTCTTCCTCTTCGACGACCTTGATCAGCTTGAACACTTCCTCGAAAATTTTCTTCTCGTAGACAACCCTCAGGATTATCCTTATCCTAGACACCACCCGCTCCGATAAATCCTTAGAATTGGGATAATTAACGTCGTTTTTAAAAGCGGGAGGCGGCGTAGAAACGGAAATTTCTACGCAAACGCCGTTGTCCTTATCGTTAAAGACGGTCATGGGTTCAGCACCCATGTACTGTAACTTGGTGTTGCCCATTTTCGATTTCCCCCTGTCCATATCCGACAGCACCGGTACGTTCACTTGTTGACGTTTACGTGTGAAACAGTTCAAGGTGGTTGCGTTTATCGCGATATCGCCGAACGAGGCTTTCAGTAGGATCAATTTGGTCAAGTAGTTTGTGTCGTTTTTCGGCGTTATTACGGAGTCCGGGTTTAAATTGGCCTTAAATTCCTTCACGATGATGTCGCAGCTGATTTCGTTCAACACTTTGTTAATCTCGAATATCCAGTCGGTTTTAGGAAACCGAGTGTTCAATTTTACAAGGAAATTCTTTTCCATGGGAATAAACTCGGTAATTATCGACGTATCTTTCTCTGAACAAATTAAATTCTGAAGATTTCTTATGAAAAAATGGCACGTTAATTTAGGAACGATTCTTTCCAAGTTCCAATTAAAATCCAACATTGTTTTTATAGAAGCTTCACCTTTTCCTGCGGGAGTTTGGTTCGATTTTTCTATGGCAGCTCTCTGACGCTGCTTAAGTTTTTCTAAAACGTTATTTGTCGGTTTTGGCGGTTGTGGGTCTTCCTTTACCCTAACGTTCTCCGGTTCTAAGAATCTAGCGTAATATCTAAAAATGTTTAAATACAAATGACATGAAAATCAGAAGTGGGATATTTCCTTGTTTTGAATAGCCACTTACATAAGGTGCCGCTGTTTGCCTTGATCGAACTTCTTGACAGTGACGATGTTACTAGTGACCAGCTTCTTCATGCACATCCTTATGGTGTTGCTGTCCACCCCCATCAACTTCTGGATCTCTTGTGAGGTACAACCGTTTTTACCCTTACCCATTATGTGGTAGTACACCTCCTTGAAACATTCCATGTTGTGTATTCTACCCCCTGTGCTTTCCTCTTCCCCTGAAAAATTTCTTACTTTATTATTTATGCCGCTGCTGTCACACCAACTTGATAGATTCTCAACAATAGATAGAGATTCTCAATGTAACGTTGAGAAATCGAAGAAATACTCATTAATACCATTTAAAAAGATGATAGAAAAACAGTAGCCCCAAGTGAGAGCCTTGAGGTACACCTGACACTGCTGATGCTTAGGTGGATATGAACCAATGTAAAAGTATTAGAAAAACCAGTAAAATCTTCACCTATTCAAATTTTATTGAACATAATTTCCAAATTTTAATATTTTAAAGTTTTTTTAAATACTGAGTCATTTTATTTTCTTACCGTCGTCATTGTCATCGTCAGAATCGTCCTGATCCGTACTCCAGCTCGCCGTGATATTAACATGAGGGTTGATCAGCTCCACGCACTTAATAAACTTTTCTATGGGTTTCGATTTCCGCATGTACTCTGTTTTCTCAGCGTTTGGATAAATATCTCTGTAGCAAACCTGAAACGAACATTTTTTTTCATAGGTCACATAAAACGGTGTATTCACTCACAAGCTCCGTTTTGATGTATTTACGAAACTCGGGAGATTTGATGACCTTCGCCACGGGCTGCGCGAACTCCTCGAATATCTTCTTCAGTTCGCTGAATTCTATCCTGCAATCGGGTCGTTCCTTCATCACGTTGACGATCTGTTCGGCGAGGAGCAGCTGTTTGGGCTTGATCTTGTGATAGAACCGTTTCAAGTGGAGCAATTTCCCCGTCTTGTTCTGATCGATGACCGCGGATTTTATGTAAAAGAACTGTTTCGCCAAGAGGTCGTATTGGACCAGTTGTTTCTTGTAGTGGTACACTGACTTCGGGTCCATCTTGAAGTGGGAGCCTATGGACATGTTGCCTTGGGTCAGCTCGCCGTGTCGCCTCGACCTGCCTATTCGTTCGAGGATACAGTACTCCATGTTCACTAGTTCGGCAATGGGGTCGGCGGATTCCCAAATTAAAGCTTTCTTCCTCAACGTTTGATTGGCAACTATCGCCAGACTAGTGCCAAACCTTAAAAAAAGAGTAAATTAAATATTTATTGAAATAAATACTGAATAGTTACTTTTGCTCCGCAGTTTTTAAATCCAAATCCTTAACTTCCATGGTTATATCGGTCCTAGTCTTAAACGTCGAACATGATCCTTGAACATCGTCATCATTCACCAATTCGTGAGGGTAAATGTCAGGCAGTTCAAAAGCCTAAAAATAACAAAATTACATTCACGAACTTCATATTAAGCAGTATTTTACTAGTTCCATTACTACTCCGATGTCTGCATCGAGGTATTTCAAACGGTCGTATATGTCAAGCACGCCCCGTGGATTAGGCAATTTGAAAAACTGTAAATTCCTCTTGCTGCAAATAAGCCTCCAAATAGACTGTTTCAAGTCATCGCTAATATAAGTCATTCGTTTGAAACCTACTGACAGACGTTTCCAGAAAGCTAAACAAAAATGATTTAGTTTAAAACGCTTGTTAGTGATATATAAGAGTTACCTTCGATCGTAATTCCATCAAGGCCCTCTAGGCTTATTTCATCCACGATTTGAAACCCGAAATCATTGTTTATGTAGTTCTCATAGCTATCGGATAGTTCATCATGTAAAAATAAGTCCCTGCTATTGCTGTCGGTAATTTCCAAACGGACACAACCACAACAATGCGCTGCGTAAATTTGAGAACAGTTTACTTCATCCTGGTTTTTAAGTGTGATCTGAGATAGATCAAGCGCAGGCTTTTCTCGAGCACCTACATTTTCGGTTCTGACTAATTTGACGCTCGGTTGGTCGTTGTCTTCGATGGAAGGTAATTTCCTTTTGATCGATATTACGTCCCTAGGCGACTTTTTAACGTGCTTCTCCTTTTTAACCGATTTTTTGATTATTCGATGGCTTACGTCGGAATATTTTTGTTCGATAGATTTTCCCATTTTTTAAAAGGAAGCAGCAAATTCGCAAATTACAGTATATTTACATCAGAATCTTAACCTCTATATGATGTCTGTTTGACAGAACACGCAGAGTAAATATTCTTCTTCTTCTGTAATTAATGAAACGATTGAACTATTTTGAACTTATACGTTCATCGGATCTTTTATATGACAAATAATTAAAATTAAAGAAAATGTATTAATAAAAAGCAAATATTCAATACACGGTTTTTTTGCTCATTTTTATAGCACGCGCGTCCTCAATCCATTGGCGACGTGTATTAATAAAACAAGAAATATATCCACCTTATATATTTTGACACATATTAACTTATAAGTTTGATATTTGGTGTTTTTTAAAATGATTATGCTATATTCAAACATTCAGTTAAGTTTTTTTTTTTCATTGGTATACGGTATAGCACAACCAAATCTAACATAATACATAAAACTAGACACATTTCAACATTTATTCTATGAGGAAAACTGCACTACAAATAAAACATTTACTATATCTTATCATACTGTTGTACTGGAAAAAAATGCTACAAAGTTGCGACATAATACGTCTATTATTAATTAGGTTTATCATATTAAAAAGTTGAATTCATGGTAAAAAATCACTCTTTTTTGAACGAAAATTGATATACTCAGGGTGTATTGCCAATGTTTTTATAAATGCATAAATGAATTTGGTAAAATTGGTACATATTTCCAAACGATTACTCATACTGTTTATTTTATCACGTCGTGTTTATTTCTAAGTAATAGTATAAGGGGCATCGGCAATATACTCTAAATATATCGTTATCACAATTGTGCAATTTTATTTAATTATGTTAAGAAACATTATTGGGCCTGTCATATCATCTTTTTTTTAAGATCTCGTCTAGAGTTTGTCGTTTATGTTACCCAGACTGATTATATTGCTATAGAGAACTGAAATTAAAAAAAAGAAATGAAATATACTGTTTACAGTTCCATAATTAACCCTCGTTTAATTTCATGGAATTCTTTACCTAATGATACAGCATGGGGTAACAGAGATTGTTTACATCCATATATAGCAGACTCAAAAAAAGGTTCACCTTCAAAAAATGAAACGTAAGAGCGGATACGACCTTAATATTTTACCTAATTATGTACAAATACAGGTAATAAATAATTTAAGAATGTAAATATATATTTTTTGTAACATTTACTTAAATATTATAAAAAATTTGAAATTCATAGTTATAATATCAATATGAAAAAACAACAAAAATGTAAAAAAATATAAAATATTATACATAAATTTCCCTTACATCTAAAAATTATCACATACAATATACATTTTATCATGATTATCGACAACTTCTCAACAGTTTCTGATACATTCAAAACTTATTCTCATAAGTACATCTTTGAACTAAAGTGAAACACATTTTTTATATGGCAACATTTAAAACTCCCGAGGCACCCGCAAGTATCGACGAAGTATAGAGAAACCGATAAGATCCTTATTTCGTAAATCTGTTTTCAAAATCAAAAAATTATAAAATTTTACCGATAACCACTCGCACTATATTCCCTTTATCAGTTTCTCCGACTTATCGAACTCAAATAGGCTTGATTTTCTCGAGAGCTCGTTAACACGCAGCAAGAAACGACAGGGTTTCATCCCAAGTTGACTCGATTTTCTATCACCCCCGAATCTACCCCCTCTCGGCTAACTCTTACCCAAGCAACCCGAAAATGTATTTACACATCTTTCCGCTAGTTTTGGCATCAAAACTTTGCGAGTTCGCGTCTTGGGTTTATGGCAACATTAAAAATATACAAAAAGGTCATTGTTAAACCCATACGCTACGTTAAACCTAGTTTTGTTGGGACATTACGACATTTCAAAAGTGTACTATGTGGACTAGCAAAATTATACAATGGCCATTCGAAGAGACGGAATTTAAAACAAAAACAGGAATATTTAAATTAGTAGTACATTTCCTGATAAAAATCAATCTAATTTTGCAACTTAAAATACACTTTATATCAAAATTAACTTGACTAAAGAACGGTCTCAACTTCAAAGTTATTTTTCTAACGAACGGCTATATTCTTTTTAATTATAAGTTTATTCTTTAGTAACGACGATAGGACAGGAATTTGTTTTGAAATTTCAACTTTCAAGACAGACTATAAGAGATAATATCTTTTCCCAGAAATTTCAAACGCCCTGTAAGGTGTGCCAGCTAAAATAGGGAACGTTTGCTTGTAGTCAAATTGTAGTCACTCCTGTTCTGAACAATTAATTTTTTGATTCACGTCATTATCTCTGTTATGAAACGAGATACACAGCTGAACTAAAGCACATTAGTTTACCACTGTTTTGAAAAGAAAAATTATTAAATAAACCACCCCTTGTGCCAAAAGGATCAACGGGTTATTATAAATTGAGTTTTGCCTTAATATCTCACAGAGGGAAAGGAGATAACTTTTTTTGACAGCACAATCACAGTCAATGTTTCGAAAAACTAGTTTCGTCCTCAAAATTCAAATTGACTCAAGCAAATAATTTTTTAAGTCAATTGGAGTTTTGAGAACGGCAACAGTGTTTTCCGAAACATTGACTGTATCATGTGTCGTCGTGTTTACGGGGCCAAGAAAAATTATCTATTTTCTCAGTGTGAAATATTAGACAAAAGTAAATTCATAAAATCAACCCCTTCTCTGATTCCTTTGGCACAAGCAGTTTATTTAAAAAAAATTAATGTCACAAAAATACCCATTTAAATAAAAAAAATAGTAACAGAAAATGCCGCAATCGTTACAGAAATCTTATTAGTGGATACTGAAATACTTTTTAAATTATCGTCACTACTCGGAATAAAAGTGTGATACGTAAAAATCAGATTAGCCGTTCCCAAGGAAATCAACTACGAAACTGATGAACTTTGATGCGAAGTGTATCTAATTTATATCACTTTAACATTCACTCAAATTGCGCGACATTTATTATTAACCCGCCTAAACATATTGAATTATGCGAAATTAAAAAGAAACCTTGATATACTTCAACGAATGCAGTAAATCTCCAGATTCGATATAAATTCTTCATCCAACCGACGCGTATAAAACTAAAAAAATTGCAATGAGGTAATCTATCCATACTTAAACCTACTGAAAATTAAAAATGTCATTTTGCGTTTCGTAATAAAATCTAAACGACCGTCACGATCGAGCGCCCGCGTCTCTCAAAAACGCCGGACTTGTACTTATTCGTTTTTAAAATACGGTTACATACCTGTCAGATTTCCAGCGTGGTCGCACTGCGACCGCTTCAAAATATACCTATATAAAACTATGAAATTGTACTAAAAAAAAGGGCTCTCAATGCTCCCCCTACAACGTCGTGGTGTACAAGCTCAGAACCCTATGGATCAATTCGTACTGCTCGGCGGTTTGTACCATCCCTCCCCTGTTTAGTCTCAGCGAGCACAGGATCGCCAAGACGTCAACGTTCGAGTTGTTCTTAAGCTGCTGGATGCCGTTTAGGATGGCCAGGAAACAACCCGTCCTGCCTATGCCGGCACTGCAATGGACGATAACCGGCAGCTTTATGCTCTCCGTGGACTTTTTACGCTCTTGCGCCGGCGCGTTCTTCAACAGAGCGAGCGCCGAGTCCCTCTTGTTGAACGGGTGCTTGTCGTCGTCGAATCGGAACTTGTCGTGGTATAGTTTCACCCTCAGTTCGGGTTTCGGCTTTGTACTTTTCAAATAGGATTCCCCGTTGCTCCTGGATATGTCGCTAGCGTTATTGTCGGGTTTCTTGTTGGACTCCGTTATGTTCAGGACGTCCAGGGCGATTTTTAAGACTTGTTCCGGGTTGGCCATTTTGTGGTCCGGCCAGTTGCAGAACCAGTAATGGTAGATGGACCTCGCCTCGCCCCCGCCGTCGCCTTTCGTCAGTTCCAACTGCCGGATGTGGCACTCGTCCAAATTCTCCTCCTTGACGAACTTTATGTTGTAGTTCCCGAAACTGACGTTGTTCAACTCCTCGAATTCGTGCGTTTCGATGTCGTACTGCTGGCTGTTCCTGTCGAAAGTGAATTTGTCGCGTATCTTCGTGGTCTTGACATAGAAGAAAGATTTTTCTCTGGAATTGTTCTTTTTTCCTAACGGGAAGTACAATTCGCATTTGTTCCGGCCCTTCTCGACCAGACCCGTCAGCATGACTATGCATTTGCACTAGAAATAACAGCACGGTTAAGACATTTCTACAAACGACCGAACCAAAGTACTCACGTGGGTGATCCACACCATTTCCCAGAAATCTTGGCAAGTATGGGCCATGGGGCCTTGTGTGGCGATGTAAGCAGTTTCTGTGTAGTCGGGCCCCTAAAATAACAATTTTTTTAGGTAGTGCAGCATGAGAAAGAAGCTGTTTTATCATAGACGCTTACTTTGATGTAGTTCGCGTGGATATAGGTTTGCGGTCCAGACAAATGGACCCTGCTGTGTTCGTTTGGTAAAACGCCCCGATAGCGATTCCTACTCTGACTACCAGAGACATAACATTTCTCTTGTAAATTTAGGGGCACCTCCCAAAATTCCTGGTGTAGTTTGGGCACCCGAGACACCTAAAAATTATAACGTCAATTCTTTTTCTTAAATCAGAAAACAAAGTTTCGTCCAAGAGGTTTGTAACTGTTGGGCAGTAAAAAGTAACAAATTTTCCAAATGAAAAACAATCCTATATTATTAAAAAAGTAGTATAAAAACAAAAAATTGAGGATAGAAAGAAAAAGTTGAAAGAAAGATATAAAAGACGTAAATAAACCACTCTAATGCAAAATTTTGATAAAAAGTATGTAACGAGCGTTCAAATAAAAACGTGGTCAAGTTGGTTCTGAAAATTTGGACGTAGGGCGTAGCGTATAGCAAATGAACTTAAACGTCATATGTCAAAGCGCTATATTGCCGCTATCAATTTGAATATTTTCGTTTTAAAAAGCGTTTAAAATGGTGTTTTCTCAAGAACAAAAAGTGTTTATCACAGAGTCCTACTTTAGAAATAGACGCAAGATTGATGGAATATGGAAGTATTCTACTGGGGAATGTTTCATAGAATTTCAAAATCAATTTCCCGGCGTTGTTGAGTACAAAATTTTTCAAAGTGCAGTTCAGCGTTGTGTTAATGTTTTTCGTGAAACGGGCAGTGTAACAAGAAAAGAAGGAAGCGGCCGACCTAAAAAGCAGACTGAAGAATTAAAAGAAAATGTCCAACAAATAATGGAAAATGCGCCAAGAACTCCTGTACGTGTTTTATCACAAATGGTGGGAGTATCAGTCGGTACCTGCCACACAGTGTTAAAAAAAGATTTGCGTTTGTTCTCCTATCGTTTAACTTGTCAACAAGAACTTCATGAAGTTGATTTTCCGCGACGGGCTGTATTTTATGAATGGTTTTTAAACAACTACGGTGAACTTCATCATATCACCTTTTTTTCTGATGAAGCCTGGTTTCATTTAAGTGGTTACGTAAACTCACAGAATATGAGAATGTGGTCTTCTGAAAAACCAGATAACTTTTTTGTCGAGGGCCCTCTACACGCTCAAAAAGTTGGAGTTTGGTGTGCTCTCAATCGAAGGAGGATTTATGGACCTATTTTTTTTAACGGTACTCTTACTGCGCAAAGGTATAGAGAAGAAATTATCGCTCCTTTTGTTAACCAGCTGGAAGAAATCGAAATTACAAACTTTTACTTTCAACAAGATGGCGCAAGGGCACATACGGCAGGCGAGACGATGAATATGTTGAGGGAAGTTTTCCAAAATCGACTAATAAGTCTCAATGCTGAACATGAATTTCCACCGAGGTCATGTGATGTTACGCCGTGTGATTTCTTTTTGTGGCCTTACCTTAAAAACACTATTTTTGAACTGCCTATTCCTGATTTAAACCATCTGCAGGCTCGACTTATAGACAAGATTCGTGAAATTAACAATACCCCGAGCATCTTAGAAAATGTCTTTAATTCTTTGAGGAACAGGTGTGAAAAGTGCTTGGAACAAGGAGGGGGACACTTTCCGCAGCTCCTTTAATTGTTTGTTATTGTTATCACGATTATTCTTTAAAATAAAGTTATATAGTCATTAACGTTATTGAAACTGACAGCTGCTATACAGCTCGTTGAGCTATAAGCTACTCCCTACGTCCAATGTGTCAGAGCCAACTTCGACCACGTTTTTATTTGAACGCTCGCTATTTAAACTAATATAACCTATCCTAACCTAATCTTACCTGTCTTGACCTAACCTATCCTAACCTAACATAACCCTAATCTAAAACAAAAGAAAAACAAATATCACACAGCAACTTCAATGAAAAATTATGGAAAACAATCAACTTTGCTCAAACACAAAGTAACAAAACATCCGCAACAAGGGAAATTAAAACTCCGATTAGTGTTGATCATATCCAAAAATATACAAATTTTTAAAATAACATTTACGAAAAACTTAAAATAGTATGAAAAAAAAAACCGTTACGTAAATACAACAAAAATATCAAATCGTCAGTGACAAATGTACGAGTATTTATGGAAGAGTTACTATCCTCTTTTACAACTACAAATATATACAAGGTGTTTATTAAGTACCTGTACAAACCTTACAGGTGCAACGGCTTGGTTCTTGATACAGAGCATCCAAAAAAAAGGTGTTTAATTATTTTTTTGTTCAATAACGTGGCAATTTTATGAAATTCTGGAAACTGGGAGTATTGTTGATAAGAAACTCAAATATTTAGTTAGTTTAATGTTAGACGGCACCAGATACAGAGTTGTATCTGGATTTAAATAACCTTAATTTTTTTGTGTCGCTCTCTATGTCATTGTTGACTTAACACACCTATTCTCCATTCAATTTTAAGTACAAAAGGTATTCTTAGTATTTGTCATTGAAAGCAGCCATTTTGTAAAAAAAAACGGGTTTAAACCTGCGTTGAAATTTTTTAAGTTGAATCATTAAGAGATTTTGAAAAATAAGTGAAATGTGTCTTTTATTGATTGTACACTAATGCAAAAAATTAAAGGGTCAAAGGAATTTCCGAAATTTTTCCGTGACTTTTGACATATTATTTAGGTGAAAAATGGTCGAATCGGGAATTACAAAAAAAGCATTTTGAAGCTCTAAGATTCTAGTTTTTAAATCTTTCGATCAAAATTTTTTAGGAGCTATAGTTATCATGAAATTCTAAAAATAGCGTGACAAAAAATTTTTGCAAATTTTCTTTTTTTTTTCCAGGGACTTGGAAATATTTTTTTCAGCTAAGCCATTGCATGGACCGGATAGCTTGTTTATTCAGCTTCATTTCCTTTATTTTTTAAATTTTGATACGACCATTTTTTATCGAAACATCGGACTTTTAATGGAAAAGCATCCTTTTGTCTTCAATCATCAATATCTCGGCAACAAATGGTCATACAGAGAATTGAAGAACCGTTTCGAAAACTGGAATAAATTTCCTATAACATGCTGCCGCAACTTTTCGAAAATAATTTTTTTTTTCATTTTTTACAGAAATTTTTAAAAACGGGAAAAAAAGATAATTTATGGTTTTTTAGAAAATTGACGGCTAAATTAGAAATATTCACGAAATGACTAATGTTAAGCATGACTTTTACATTTCGATATACCCAGAAAAACCCTGTAAAGTTTCATCTCGATCTAGGGAACCGTTTCGTTGTTTCAGTCAAACTTTTGAAAAAAATTAAAGGTCACGTTTTTTGAGCTTAAACACTTCATAATCATGATTAAAATGGAAAAAAAAATTTTTTTGAGGTTTTCTCACATTTTTTACCGCAAATAACGTTGAAATTGATTAAAAAAAATTCTAAGTTTTCGAAATTTTTTAACTTTTTTTTTATTTTTTTTTGGAAAACCTTCCAGACATTGAAGAAAACAAAATCCAATTGTTTCCACTGTTTCCAGCACGATTCGGCTTTTTCGTCCTATGCTGTGTTCTGCTCTGTTCATCAATTTTTAATTAAATTAAAATTAGTTTGATGATCCAAACCAGATTTCGACCCTAATTCATACCGTTTTTTGAGACCAATTTCTAATTAATTTTTATGCAGTCGGTAATCATTTAAAAAAACTACCCGTTTTCTTTGAAAAAAAATTAATTTTTTTTTTTTTTTCATTAATTTAAACGTTATTTGCCGTAAAAATGTGAGAAAACCACAAAAAAATATTGTTTTCCATTTTAATCATGATTGCGAAGCTCAGAAAACGTGACCCATTAATTTTTTTCAAAAGTTTGACTGTTTGAAACAAAGAAACGGTTCGCTAAATCGAGATAAAACTTCACAGGGTTCTGGGTACATCGAAACTGTAAAAGTCATCCTTAACATTAGTCATTTCGTGAACATTTCTAATTTAGCCGTCAATTTTCTAAAAAAACATAAAAATACCTTTTTTCCTGCAATGGCTTAGCTGAAAAAATTTTTTCCAAGTCTGGAAAATTTTTTTGTCGTGCTATTTCTAAAAAAATTTCGACGGGAAGATCTAAAAACTAGAATCTTAGAGCTTCAAAATGCTTTTTTTAATTCCCGATACGCTCATTTTTCACCTAAATTCTTTTGACCCTTTAATTTTTTGCGATGTGACAAACTTAGATCGTTTACAAGACTAAGATTAAGCTACTTCCAGAAATAAGTTACTAATATTTACAATAATTGCTGAAACAAAAATGTTTTTTTGGATGCTCTGTATCTCAAGAGTGATATATTTTTGTCTTAAAATTAATCAAAGATTCACCCTTTAAAATTTGTACAAGTACTTAATAAATGCCCGATTTAAAGCAAATGCAACTGCTAAAAGGTTTGAAAGAATTAGAGAAACCTGACGCAGATGTCATAATTTAAATTACAATAAAAAACAATATTAAATGGAATGACATAGTAATACGAAATACAAATTACATCCGCTATTTTTCCGCTATATTCGCTATATTACATCCGCTATATTTCGCTATGAATCGAGCAAAAGCAGCGCCATCTCTTGGTTGTTTATTTTCGTGAATGTTGGCCACTTTCTCGTCGTTCGCAATTAAATTACAAGTTATTTTTGAAGTAATGTTGAATACACTGCTATAGTTTGTTATAATTTATATTTCAAATTATTTTATTTTTTTAATTTTGCCCATTTTAAACAGAATAAATGTATTACTTTATAAAAAAAAAGAAAAAAAAAACAGAACAGATATGGCAACATCAACTGCTACAAAGTTTTCGTCATTTGCTAAATCCTAAAAAGCTCAACTGTTAACCATTTAAAATCTTCGATTTTTGTAGAAAACACACTTTCACGGTACAAGCATCCTTAAGCAGTAACCCCATATTAATAGCTCTACGGTCTTACCTCGCAAGTCTGTTTCAAATCCTCCACCGACAAAACGTTCCCAGCGGTCTGAAGGTACTGTATATTCTGCAGATGCAGTTTGAAATCCTCGGACAGCAGCTGCGAAGACTCCAAATCGGGTTGCCTCGGATAATACGCTTTTCTGTACCCCTTGCAATGCTTGGTGGCCCCTGAACAATCCTTGAAAGCTCCCGTTTGACAGAACCCGCAGGGCGGCACATACAAATTCTCGTTCGACAAGGATTTCCTGCGGGACTTGGCGCAGCAGTTACACTTCTTCACGCTCTGGCATTTGATCTTGCAGTTGTTGATTTTACTCGGCACGGACTCGTATATGATGCAATTGCCGCAGGTCTCCTGCGATTTCCTCCTCTCAGCGGCCTTATTCTGCGCCTCGCACTTCTTGTAACAGGCGCAGGCCTTGTCTATGCTTCCGAAAGTCGACAGGTTGAGGTTAGAAACACTTTTCGCCGTGTTGAGTCGCGTGAACGGCGTGGTCTTCACCTCCGCGATACTAGAATTTGAGCCCAGGTCTATCGTTAGACTAGCATTGGACCCTCTACGTTCTAACAGCCCTTTCGCCTTTATCTTAATTGGTTCGGTAACAGGACCGTCGGAGAAGTCTTGTAACGTCATGATCTCGGGTAGGGTCTTTAATGTCTGCGACCCGGAAATACTATTGTTTGAGGCGAACTTCTTGAGGTTTGAGCTAAAGTTAGGTGCTAAGGTCGATTTGTGTGGTCCATCTTCAAAATCACATGACAATTTCTTTATTTGTCGTTTTGGTGTATTTGGCATCGAGAAAACGTCTCTAGACACATCTAAAGTCGACGACTGGGTGGGTGGGTCCGAATCCAGGCTGACCGCCTTCAGTTTCTTCGAGAGGGTTGGGGTTTTGGGGGACTGCACCACCAGGACTGGTTGGGGCACCGCATTTAATGTCGAGAGATCCTTGAGGTCTAGGCTTGGGAAGTTCCGCTCTTTTTTGCAATGTGTACCTTGGGAGTTGTCCATTTTCGTCAATTCTTGTCGGCTGTAATAATAATTCAGCGTTAAGCATCACAGGAAATGCCTATTAAGGCAAAACACTTCCTTAAGAACTTACACTTTGCAGGCACCTATCATTACCTTAGTCAATCAGGAAACTTACTCGTAGCTGCTTTACATCGTATCGGATCAATTAGGGAAACTTACGTTTAATAAAATAGCGCTATTTTTATTTTTTCTAATATTAAACACCAATATATTTATGTTATTTTCCTAAATACGCTGTATCTCGACGACGAACAGTTATTCTGATTTAAAAACTTGTTATTTTGGTAGAGGTTCATTTATTAGTATTGTGTTTGTATTTATTTATGTTTTATGTTTAATTTCCGGTCATCTCTGGCTTGTTTTTTCGAAAATCGGCAAGAAACAGCAGCCATTCTCAAACAAGATCGCGTAAATTGTAAACAGCTGGTACTAGGTCAATCTTACGTACAGTTCAGCTCGATTAGTGATGTACAGTACCCAAGAGTAGACAAACACTAGGTCATCTCACACAATTTCAACCGGTATCGAGATAATTGCGCTGGAATATTATTAAACGAATTACATATCATTTTTAACATTAAACCCATACAATAGTACAAAAGGCAACATCACATAAACCTAATTTAAATAAAACTTCTTATGACGTTACCAAAACTATTTAGTAGCTGATCTGTGGCCCGATTCAAAAACTACGGTCCAACCTTCTATTATAGCTACCTTGTATCAGGCTCGCCAATCACAGTTGGATTTCTAGGAAAAATTCGTAGTCCAAGATTTAAAAAACCAGCTGTACATAATCGATATTTATGATTCATGAATGAATAACATACATATTTTTTCACTTGCGTTAATTGGTTTGGACAAGATACCTACATATTTAGTAATTACATATTTAGCTGCTACGTCATTAATTTACATATTTTATGTTTTATGTTACTTTCCACAAAATTTGGGCGGTGATAGTGGATAATAAAGTGAACTGTAATTTCAAATATTGCGTATTGGAGAAAAAGTTAAAAACATGAATTTGAAATTACAGTAATAATTATTCCATGATGTTCTTCGTGTTGAAATTTTAATTTTTTTTTCTATAAATTAATTGTAATAGAACACTCCTAGATTTCTAATACAAAAGGCCCTGGAAATTCTTGTTTTTGTTTACTTCATTCAATATATCTTAAGACGAAACATAATAGTTGTAAGTTAATCTGTAGCTAATAATTATTTTTAGAGAATTTCCATTGGGTATTTTTGTATTTCATTTTTAAAAAGTTTGATTGTTTTTATTGGTTACAGGTAGTCAACATTTTAATGGATGTAAGCATTGGCTAAGGTAGTTCAGATGAAGTAAGTAAGCAGATCTGTCAAATAACGTGGTAATCAGGAACTCGACGAAAAGTTCAAAAGTTGTGAAAACTCGGGAAAAATGTGAAATAAGTGCATGTTTAAGTGAATAAACCGCGAAAATGATTGTATACTAGCAGTAAAACCCCAGGAAATATGGATTCTCTATCCGCAGATCTAGCTATCCAGGCGATTTTGGGTAAGTTGTAAAAAAATAGTTTATGTCTGATTTTTTTAATCAATTTGTTGCTAATATTGCGATTTAAACAAATATTAATGGTTCGCCTTGAAATCCATTTGTTTTAGAACGTACAAGAATCGCATTAAAACTATTAAACGCCTTATTGTACTCTAATTTATAAATAAATTGAATAAATGTTTTCATATACAACTTTAGAAGGGGGGAGGACTATTATTTCTTTATTTTATTTATTTGACATCATAAACTAGGTTTCTTCATTTTCCGATGATTATGGGAACGCTTGCACAAATCCTGGTATAAATTAGAAGAAATGAACGTTGTTGTTAAAAGTATGTTGAATATCAACAGGTGTTTTCGCGATAGCAATTCCAATTTCGCGAAAATTTCCAGCGCGCTTCGGTATTATAGTTTTCGGGACGTCCTAATCTTAATAATACACTATTAGGCGACCGACGGTTTTTACGTAAATTGTTTATACAATTGATTACTGGCGTTAAATATTGTATTGTTACAGCGAAGATATTGGTTAGGAACATTTACCTACTTGAGATTATGAAGGTCATTCATCTCGTCGACATACAATAATATTTTTTATGATAAACTGCAATTCGATTATTTTCTTTTTATTTCCCCGATAGTGAATCGAATATTTTATTTTAGAAGTGTCGTTTTGTGTAAACAACAACGAAACAATATTTATAGAACTCTGCAAACTTGCCCACTGTACCAGATTTTTCATTTGCAACCCGAATAATTTTAACACTACAATTATTACAATGATAAAATGCTTTAATAGCAGATATTTTTCATTTACTTTTATGGAAATTGTTATAGATGTTATTTGTTGTGTCTTATGTACTTTTTAGCTCATGATTTTGATTCGTTTTTAATTACTTTAGTCATATACAGGGTAGCCCATTGAAAACGTACCGCAAGGCATTACAAGGTAGTAAAGAACTTTTCGGCAAAATCCAAAAACAGGTCAAATTTGTTTCTGAGGGGGACAACTTTTGGCTCAAAAAGCAAACCAAAATCTTCAACCCCCTAAGTGGGGGTGTTATCCCCTAATTTTTTTCAAATGGGAATGGGGGTCAAGTGGGGGGTCATTAGAAAGGGCTTTTAATTCTCTATACATCGATTCTTACTTTTTGAAAATCGATTCATTATTTTAGAAAATATGCAGCTTTGAAAATACGAACAATATTTTTGACGAGAAATGCGAAAATCGATTTAATTTTACTTCAAAACTTACGGTATTAGTCAAGTAAATGCTGAAAATGTTGTCCGCCACCTTGCATACAATGATACAGGTTGTTTTCAAACCGTTGTCGAACATTCTGGAGCACTTGCGGTGTTACTTCGCGACGTACATTAATGATTCGTCCTCGCAGATCTTCCAAGGTATCAGGTGGAGTGCTGTAAACTTTGCTTTTAATGTGCCCCCAGAGAAAGAAATCTAAAGGATTTAAGTCGGGTGACCGAGGGGGCCACTCAATTGCACCTCTCCGTCCTATCCAGCGTACTGGAAACATCTCATTTAGGCAATTGCTGGAAAATCAGTTCGTGTTCATTGTAAGCAGGGTCGTCCTCTATGATATTTGTTAGAGCTGGGTCGATGACATTTTGTAGTAAATCCAAGTACATATCGCCTGTCAAATTTCCAGGAAGGAAAAAATTACCTACAATGGAATTTCCAAAAATACCTGCCCATACATTCAACTTCTGGGGGTGTTGGGAGTGTGTCTCATGGAAAATCCTTGGATTGGTATCAGCCCAGTAACGACAATTATGGCGATTCACTAAACCATTCAAGAAGAACGTACATTGGTCCGAAAAACACACATTAAAGAGGAAATTATCGTTTATCGCTCGTTCAGTCATTATTTCGCAAAATTGCAAACGACGATCAAAATCGTCTTCATTTAGCTCTTGCACTAGCCGAATCTTATAAGGATGGAATTTGTATTTTTTTAATATTCGTTGGACACGTCTCACTCCTGTCGCAGTAGCCAATTGCATTGTATTCAGCGTACTATCCATTGCCACTTGCCCCAATACCGCTATTTCCGTAGGTTCATTTAGTACCGGATTTTCAACCTGCCTCTTTTTGTTATGAACGGAGCCAGTTTCGCGAAATTTGGCCACCAATTCGCGAACAATTTTTCCAGACGCATGTTTCTCAGGATGCCGTTGGTTGAACAGTTCAGCGACCCGATTTCCGCATTAATTATTTTTGAAAAAAAGCTCAATAATTTCTACTCTTTCTGGAATTGAGTACACCATAATTAATCAATTTAAAAGACTCGGCAGTATTGGTAGTCTTCAACTACAAGTCACAAGACAGTTTTCTAGCAACTTCTTGTGGCCTATCTAAATACGAAACAAAAAACGGACAATTTTTTGCTCACCAAAATCAGGCTAAAGAATTCGCAAATCAGAAAAAAAAACAGCGAATTCTTTTGAAGGAATTTACTAAGCTAATACCGTAAATTTTGGAGTAAAATTAAATCGATTTTCGCATTTCTCGTCAAAAATATTGTTCGTCAAAAGTTGTCCCCCTCAGAAGCAAACTTTACCTGTTTTTGGATTTTGCCGAAAAGTTCATTACTACCCTGTAATGCCTTGCGGTACGTTTTCGATGGGCTACCCTGTATAACTATCGTAGTGGCTTTAAGTTCGATAGAATTATGAAGAGTTAAGTAATCCTGATAACCTTTGAGATGCATTAAATTATACTTCACACTCTTCTGTACTAAATTTTAATTACCCAACTGTCTATTATTGAAAATACACTGCTTTATTTGTATAGCACATCATTAAATGTAATATAATAGTACCTAAAAAAATCATACCAGTAATTCTTCATTTCACTTACCAGTGTCGTATATTTGTACTCTTGTGACTTTTTTGAAATGTCACCCAAAACTTTATTAAAACAACGAAAAACGAATATTCTTGCAAACAATTTTGGGGTTAATTGCTGTAACGATTGCAGATTCTTTTTATTTCGCAGTAGAGACCAATTATTATTGATTTAAAAAAATAATGTAGCAAATAAACAAACATAAATACTAATAGTTTAACATCGTTATAATAGGAATAAGTTAAAAAAACCGCTAATAACTAAACTAGTCTCACAAATTAAAGGATGAAGAAAATTCTAAATGTTTGGGTGATTTTCAAAAGGCTTTGAAATGTTCGTAGAGCAATAAGAAAATCAAATTGATGTTTGAAGTTTCTAGTTCAAAAAAATATATATTTTCAATAATTTTTTTTTCGATATTTAACGCTTTTTGATGAAAGAAATGGACTTTTGCGAAAAAACACTTTCACTTTAAACAAATTAACAAAAGATGCAAAAATTATATGTACTTTAATTGAAATTTAGCGAAAGTGACAATTTCAATTATTCGGATCACAATGAAAGCAAAATCGCAGCGGTTTGAACTCCTGGGGGTTTCTTTGAGATACTTTTATGTTTAAAAAAAAACCGAAAATATCCTTAGTCAATTCATTGTTTGTGTAGTTGCTCAAGTTTAACAAAAGTCGTTGAATACGCAAATTTTTAACTTTTTTTTAATCAAGTTTCTTGCATCGAAAAAATTGTTTTATCAGAAAACGATAAGAAAGTCTTATAGAGATTCCTTTGAAGTTTTTAAAACCCCGCTTAGATTTTCTGTATGATCATTAGTTCCCAAATAATTAATTATCAAAGACAAAAAAGTCATTTTTGCTTTGAATGACGATAACTCGGCGACAAATCATCGTACAAAGCTGTTGAACAGCTCAAAATAAAGAGGATGAATCAAACTAAACGCTCAAATAGGTGGGATTGTCAAAAAAAAATTAATTGAGGCCTGTGGACCTTTGGAAAGGGAAGCAAAATTTTTCAATTTTTTTTCCACTAGATTTCTTATGATTTCTTAAAGATAACAATTGATGACTTTCAGATCCTGTAAATAGAAACTTCAAGCTTCAATGTGCTTATTTTTTTATTATTTTACGACCATTTTTCTCTAAGTTACAGCTTTTTGAAAATCACCTTAAAATCTAGGATTTTTTTCCTTTAGTTTTTCTGATTAGTGTAATTTATTTCTTATTACAAGGGAAAGCTTTAACCAAATATATAAAAATATACAGGGCGTTCCATTTAAAAAGTTGAATTTGAGTGCGTTTTTGACGTTGATTCGTTCGAAAGCAAAATTCGATATAAAATGTTTCTTCTAATTCTTCTAATAAACTTCTGTTTGGGTGCCAAGCCATTTTATTTTAAATAAAATAGTTTTTATTAACAACCGAAATGGTCGTACCGAAAAAATTACCCAATTAGAAATAATGAAACCGTTGGAACAAAATAATAAGCTTGATTTGGTGTTATTTATTTGATTTTTTGATCAGTGCCAATAAAAAAAGTAAAGCTGTAGGTGTAGCTTGCTCAATTACAGCTTGAGACAATTTATTATCGTTATAGAAGAAATATGCGTATTTCTTGTTAGGTGGCCTTGATTGAAAGTTGGGTGTGAGAAATAATTTCCTGCTGAACCTGAATCGAAATTTTAGGATTGAAGTAAAGGTAAAATACATAACGAGACATTTGAGGGTACGTACAGAAAACTGTAAAGAATTAGATGTCTCCACGCTGTGAGTGTTTTTGCACTTACAGCTTCATCGATTGTTGAAATCAAAAAAATCATTTATTTTTATGAAGAAGAATGGAAAACTGTCGCGTCAACTTTCTTTTCCATTTTTTTTTTTTATTGTTTCGAATAACTAGTAGTTTCAATCAGTAATCTGTGCCATTTTATTGTTAAAATCACTATAATTTGAATAATTCTCGAAATCCTATCATTCATCTAGTTGTCCGATACCCACACCTGGAATTGTCATATTCGATATTTTTATCACCGTTATTATTAATGACTTCTCAAAACTTTCATTACGGACCGATGTTTGAGTACTTAAAAAAAACCGGACTCGGGCCATACAGGGCATCTACA